TTATTTTTGTCAGAAATGTGTGAAAATAAACAAAAATTCGGGTTTTGAAATGTTTCTGGATCTTTTAGGGCCTGTTTGGGATTCAAAACCTACTAAAACGCTGTTTTGCTACGTAGGTATCAGCTGGATAAACACCCCGCTAAGAGTCCAGAACCGAACTTTTTGGGAATTAGCGTTTCAGGGTTTCAGGGCTTTCAGAAGCAGGCCAATCGTGTTGGATTCTCAAAAGAAATCTAGTCTTTACTATCAAAAATTCGTTCCAGGGTCCGGCCAAAAGGAAAACCGGCAGGCAAACGGTTCCGTTTTTCCGGGGCTGGTGAGAGAGCCGTTGAAAAGGACGCCGCCGACCTCGCCGGGCATCCCTTCATACTTGCCGGCCATCGGATCGTCCAGTTCAACACCGCAGAGGTATTTTAGATCTAAAAAATATCTTCGTTCTCTTTACTTTCAACCAATAGTACCTCTTAAAGGGTTGCAAAAACCTTCATTCCTTTTTCTGTATACTTAAAAAACTTCTTTGGCCCTCTGAAGCCAATATTACTCTGCCTTTTTCGCCATTTCCGGCGTGGAGGCCCCTTTCCCCGCCATTGGCTTCGTCATCCACGTCAACAATTCATTTCCGGAAAGGAGAAGCGCGGCTGAGATTAGTCATTTAGGCCGTAAAAAAGGGGGGATAGAATTTGGAAAACCCTAAAAAAGGAAAATATGTTAGATTCAAGGCGTATTTTAAACAGCATTTTTCTCTTATAGAGTTTTTACTTTATCTCGATACATATATAATTTCCCTTTTTAATCGGAAAAAAATTCCAGGAATTTTTTGGGATTATTGTCCCTATTCTCTCTGGGAAAAGTTGCGAGCCGGGGCGGCAGGTTGCTCCTACCTCCCCGATAACACCACTTTTATCGCATCACGATTGAGAGGGAGAGAGAGAAAGAAAGAGAGAGAGAGAGCGAGAGAGAGAGAGAGGGGGGGGAGAGCGAGTGTGTTGGCAAGAGGCCAATCTGTGTGTGCCCTCACTGTGCGACCACAAATAAGTGGGTAAATAGGTGTGGGAGTAGGAGTAGTGTGTGAGTCTCCCTCCCTTGAGTCATGGTCAAGTGAGTTCCACCTCCCACACCGGAAGAACCTCCCGACATTCGTACATTTGGCATGTGTTGGGCGCAATCTCGCATTTACGCGCCCGGGGCCTCAATAAGACCACTCTAGGGGACCGTTAGCAAACATTAATGGATGCAGGAAGGAAGGCGGGGTGGTTGATCCTGAAATATACAGGGTGTCCCAAAAAAAACGACCCATCTGGCATTTCGCCGGGTTACATCCAATCGGCCTCAAATTTGAACCAGAGGTGTATCATACCCTAAATAACAACAATCCTGACGTATAGCCCTGTAGCTACAGTCGTTCTCGAGTTATAACGAAAACAAACTTTATTTTCCATTTTCATAGGGTTTCGTGGAATTAGACCCCTAAACATAAGTGAAAATGATCCGGTAGGCCTTTTTTACCCTAAGAAATTTTTTCCAGAGTAAAATTAATTAAATAAGCTTCGATTTAAGCGATTTTTACAACCCAAAACTACCCAAGTTCTTAAGCGAAATTAGGGATTCACAGCCGGAAGTCGATGCAAATCGATGCAAAGTCCAAAAAGGTAGCCGAAAAAACTGTTCAGAATTCCGGGAAAAACAGTATTTTCGTTATAACTCGAGAACGACTGTAGCTACAGGGCTATAAGTCAGGATTGTTGTTATTTAGGGTCTGATACACCGTTTGACCAAATTTGGGACCGATCGGATGTAACCCGGCGAAATGCCAGATGGGTCGTTTTTTTTGGGACACCCTGTAGTGGATTTCTTGAGCATCATGATCGATTGGAGAAAATATCTCCGTTAGATGACCCGATTCTATCGGGGAAAACGGTACTAGACTCTTAGCGGGGGGGGCGAATTTTTCTAATTAATCCGGTATGGCTCTATAACGAAATATAAATCATTCCTCTGGACGTTTATACAGTTATATATGAAAGTTTATAAAGATTAAAAACATTTTGAGACAGGTTTCCACTTTCGGCAAAAATTTATGAAAAATGACCAAAAAAGGTCAACATTTGCGAATTTTCAAAACGTTTTAAGCTATTTTTATAACTTTCCGGCAAGCAAAAGCCACTAAAAACACTATAGAGCTATATTATCAATATGTCGAAAACCGAAACAAAACAAAGCTAAAAATGCCCCTCCTAAAAATCCATCCTCCCCCCCCCGCTAACAGTCCAGTACCGTAAAAACTTCACTATCGAAAGAATGTGGGTTTTAGAAATATCTGCAGAAGCTAGAAAAATCCCCTTGGTCCCCCTTTTTTCAAAAATAAACCGCCGAGTTTTTTGGCATCTCCCCAGGCGGAACGTGCCAATTACTCTGGTTGGCAGTCAGAGCCCCTCTCGACTCGCGCAAACAACCCGAAAATAGAGCTTCAGTAGTGGTGAGCGGATTTAGGCTCGTTGCCAGGGTTGCCATTTGGGGGTGGGTGGATAGATGAATTTGAAAATTGGCGGGGATGGCGACTATCGATATAGCGGAACCCTAAAACGAATACTTAAAGAAAAATAACCATAATTTTAAAGTAAAAATTCGTGGTTACAAAAAAAATTGTACTCTACTGCTAACCGGGGCTTAAATTTAGCATTCCCCGCATAAAATGAACAACACAGCTTTACATAGTTTTTGACGTCGTTTTGATGCAAAAGTTCATAAAAAATTCGAAAATTATCAATTGCTTTGCTTTAGCAGCTTTTTAGTGAACAAATCCACCAAAAAAAACTTAATAAAAATACGTGATAAAACGCTACAACAATTCGCAAGTTAGGTATTGGCACGTAGCTGCCCGGTTAAAAGCCCAGTTCCGCCCAACCTTCGCAATGTTGTTCAAACGAAAAACCCCTCCATCCAATTGTTCACTTTTAGAGCAGCACCGCCACGTGTTCGTGCATGCCGTTGCCGAAGAGCCATCGGCCCATGCCAGCTGTGCCCAGGCCAGTCTCCGCTATCCCCCTAAAAACTTACTTTTTCTCCGCCCAGCTCACCCTCCCGTCCTCCTAGCTAGTCGCTGCTCATGGGCGGGGTTTTCGAGGCAAACGCCCGCTTTTCCAGCAATTAGCTGTCACCCCGGCTGCAAGTGTACAACATTGGGTATTTGGCTGCTAGCAGGGGGGAGGGCTAACAATAAGCTTGAGTATTGCGCCGTAGGGTCCCAATAATGGATTAAAAAACTGTTTCTAGTTATTTGCGACGTTTTTGAGTCTCACTAACTCGTAAAATGATCAAAACTCTGGAAATTATGTGATTGTTGCTCAAAATGAATGAAAATGTCAAGATTTAAACTTTCTAGAAACGTTTTATGTCTTTCTAGCAATCAAAAACTATTAAAACCACTATAAAACGCTAAAAATTTCCCTTGACAGTTGTAATTTTTTCATGACGTTTAGCCATCAAAAAACCCACTAAAGCCACTTTAGACACTAAAATTTACTAAATCGGTTAGTCCAGTCGAGATACCTCCCCCTCACTAAAACACTAGTATCCAAGCCCGTTTCACGCCCAAACACGGGCACTACCCCGTTATCTTTACGCGTGAAAGTTGACAGCCGGCTGAAAGGCTGAAAGGTTTGCCGCCGGAAATGGCCCGGCAAACGTTGGGGGCACAATATAGACCGCGGCCAATTTCCCCGCGGATTAGCGGTGCGCGGCGAGACCTGGGTCAAGTACAGATTAACGAAGAGAAAGTGGCGACCACCGTGGAACGGCGACTCCTTTAGGGCATACGACGATCCCCGAGTCGAATGGCGTCGAGAAGAAGCCGGCCGCCAGGCGGGTCATATCGCGCCATGTAGGTTGATGCCTGAAAAAAAACGAAAAGCTAAACGTTAAACTATCAGGTTGGAAGGTAAGTCCTGTCGCCGAGATTTTGGGAGGCTGGCTAAAATCATAGATAGCTCCATTCTGGACATGTGATATGTCATTTTGTAGCTCTCGGCATGAACCGTTTTGGGTGGTGGGTCCTAGACCGCCAAAATCAAGGAGGACCGAGATACAAGCCCAACAAGTTTTTCACAAAATCACCAAAAAGTGTTTTTGCAAGTCATCTCTGCATAGAGTCATTTGCATGTGATACCTTTAACACCAGTCGATAGCTCTCGAGGAGTAGATATCGATAGATGTTGAGATCATCAAAATCGGACATTGGATGGCCGAGATATGGGCCTCTGAAATTTAGTCCATTTCTTAGAACTTTTCCCGAATTCCCATAGATTTTGTCAAAATTTACCCGGCGGGTCCAAAAATAAAGCGGCAGTTTTTGGCCTCTGCCTACGAAATGTATCGCAATGTATGGGAATTCGGGAAAAGTTCTAAGAAATGGACTAAATTTCAGAGGCCCATATTCGGCCATCCAATGTCCGATTTTGATGATCTCAACATCTATCGATATCTACTCCTCGAGAGCTATCGACTGGTGTTAAAGGTATCACATGCAAATGACTCTATGCAGAGATGACTTGCAAAAACACTTTTTGGTGATTTTGTGAAAAACTTGTTGGGCTTGTATTTCGGTCCTCCTTGATTTTGGCGGTCTAGGACCCACCACCCAAAACGGTTCATGCCGAGAGCTACAAAATGACATATCACATGTCCAGAATGGAGCTATCTATGATTTTAGCCAGCCTCCCAAAATCTCGGCGACAGGACTTACCTTCCAACCTGATATCTAGCCCTTACCCTAAGACATTAAATCTACGCGCGTTCAGGTCCAAAAGGCTCCTAAAAATCATTAAAACTTTAGAAATATTGGTGATTAGCCAAAAATTTTAACCATTTACAAACATCCTAAATTTTCTAAAATTGTTTTTGTAACTTTCAGTAATAGCTAAGCCATTGAAAACACTATAAAGCTCGATCTTTGCCTGTACCCCGCGCCAGTCGACTACCAAAAGCTATCCAGGTCGCCCGCCATGCCCCAACGCAACAGCAGCCGCTTCTGGAGGAAGCATCGAGACCAACAAGCCAGCCGGCTTCGGTTCGCCCCACATCAAGCACTTCCGTTCAGACCGAAGAGGTCGGTCATTCCCTCAAAAAAGACCGGCCTTTGCCTATATTGAAAATTAAAAATAACCTGCCTGTTAGGACTTTGATACCATCGTCGCGGACACGGTCCAAGGACTTGCCGAACGTGCCATATCGGACGCTATTGCTGGCCTTCGTATTGAGCGGTAAGTAACCCGCTGAGCTGAATGAGTTTAATTAAAATCCAGACTTGAAAGCCGCATCGGCAAATCGACAGCCCAGCACAGCCACATGACCAGAAGCCTCAAAGACGCGCTCAACGCCAAAGCCAAAGACCTCCTCGCGGCTGAAGAGCGCATCCGCGAGCTTGAGAGTAGTCATAGCATCGCCGCTCAAATGTGCGAGGCGATGACTCGGCGAGTGATTCAGAATGTACAGGTAGCAACGAGCTTCGTACAGCCGAAACAAAAAATATACTCAGAGATTGGATGCTGCTAATCGAAGAAGTATCGCATCCGAAACAAGGAGCAGTGCTATCCGCGATACCAGATTAAGGTTATTACAGAAAGGCAAGTCCCACGCCAGAGTCCAATAATGGCGTTTAGAAATAGACAAAGACTTCTTGCCGTGGCTGTTCGAAAAAGCAACGGTTGCCTCAAGCGCCACTAGGCAGGAGAAACTCAATGGTAGGAAACCAGGATGATTTCGTTCAATCGCTTCAGAATTCTACGATCCTCAACGCCGCCGCCGACCCCCAGCCTTACAGAATCAACAGTAAATAGACAAGGACAACTTTATTAAAACCGGGATAAAATTTCAATTGGTGCCACTAACCAGAAATAACGAGGGAACAGGGACATAAAAAGTAATTGCAACAGTTTAATGAGAGTAGTGGACTTCGGAAAAATATTAAATAGTGGGAGACCATGCGAGGAGAGGGATGTGGGGCAACAACAAGCAAGGATTAGGCGAATCTACATGATGCAGCAGCGGTCTTGGGCCTTGTCACCATAGCTGGTGTCATGCACCGCCTCCATCCAAGCCTGGCGCTCACCTTCACCGTCCTGAACAAAATTTATTAGCACAGAGAAATGTCGCTTACCACAATGACGGCTTCCGGGCTGGCTCCCACGGGCCAGTTCTGGTTCTTCATCACCAAATCAGAAGGCGGGTTGTGCTTCTGGCCAGAGTTCGCCGACCAGATCGTAAGGTAGTTATTGGAGCGGAGTACCAGCTTAGGGTTGAATTTGTAGACGACCTCGCGATCATCAGTCGTCACCCGAAGCTAGAAAAAATGTTTTTGGAACGGGGGCGCTAAATTACCTCCCAGCCACCGAGGGACACAGTTTCGGCGCCGTTGTTCTTGATCGTGATCGATTTGCCCTCCTCATCAGCGTTTTCGAAACTAATGTCACCAGCAGTTCCGGCGACAAACTAAACATCAATATTTTTCACAGGAAATCTCGTACACGGCTGCGCTGGTGAGTGAAGTCGTAGTCCTCTCCATTGCTCAAACGCCTTCTCTTGACCCCGCGTGAAGCAGAGTTGTTGGTCGTTGAGAACGAGACATGTCGAGATGAAGCGTTGGACGCATTGTGAGACAGGTTCAGGCGAGTCTCCTACAAATAAAATTGGTGTCTCCAAGATATATCATACCTCTCCTTCAAGCAGCGCCTGGTACGCCTTCAGCTCCATTTCGAATTGAATCTTCGTATCGCAGAGATCCTGGTATTCTTGCATCATGCGCTGAATTTCATTGTTCAGCTCGTAGATGCGTTCGTCCTTTGAGTGACGAAGCTTCTCCATCTCAGACTCCAGTCCAGAAATCTTGCGTCTCATAGCATCGATCTGACCCTCGACGCCTTGGTTAGACTTTTCGAGGTCCGAAACCTAAACAAACAAAACGCAATGATTGTTTTAAAAAAGAAACCGACCTGAACGCGAAGGCGGTAAGCCTCATCGCGGAAGCGCTCAGCCATGTCGGAAGCGTCGTTCAACTTGTTCTTGTATTGTTCTTCGAACGTGGCGCGGTTGGCGGCAAGGCGGTTAGCGAAATCTTCACGCATGGCATCGAGTTGAGCGTTGAGACGGTTTTCGTAGTCGGTCTCCAGCTGCTTCGAGATCGTCGTCATCTCTACTTGGCGCTTCCGACGTACGTCTTCGAGTTGCTACAAACAAAACATCTCAGATAACGGAAGGGAGCTTACCTGACGATGATTTCCGCGCTCGAACTCCAGCTCCTCCTTGGCCGAGTGCAGCTTGTTCTGCAACTCCGCGCGCAACACGTTTTCATCTTCGAGGCTCTTTTTGAGAGCGGCGAGCTGCTTACGAAGACGATCGTTTTCCTTCTTGAGGTCCTGAAGATAAAATAATGATACGCTCAACATTATCAGAATTTTGGCCATCGGGAGGAAATTCTTACCGCATTCTCAGCCTCGTAAGTCTTGTTTTTGCCTTCCGCCGTCTGGAGACGAGCGTGATAATCGTTGGACAGACTTTCAGCCTGTTGACGACGGCTCTCGGAGACATTCAACTCCTGCTCCAAACGGGCAACTAGCGCTTCAAGTTCGTCTCTGGCAGCGACGGCGGTGTCACGCTCGATCTCCAACTTGGCCAGCCGACCAGCGTTGTACTCATATTGTTTACGGAGTCGCTCCTAAAGCCATGGTATAAGAATTCATAAGAAGCAATACCGTTTCGGCTTCATATCGGTGTGCAAGGTTGTCCTTCTCCTTCCTCTCAACAATCTCGATGTCCTTGATCTGCACGGTTAGACGATTGTTCTCTTGCTCGAGATGGCGCACACGCTAAAATCAGAAATATATTGGTTGAAAAGCACCCAAAGTAATTTCAGATATGTAATCGGAGCGGCGGGGCTCTCTCCCGGATGCTCCCCGCCCGTCCTTGAGGGAATTGTGCAAAAGGCGCGTAAACGCAACAGAAACTTTCGCGACACCAAAATCGCCGGCCCCGTATCGATTGTTTTTCTCAAACAACTCAAAATGAGTAACCGAAGCAGCCCACGCCCGAAAAGCATTATCTATTTTCGAAACTAGATAACTGACGTCGATGTATGTGGCGAGGCGACTGTTGAGACTTCCCAAAAACTCTTTTTCGTCTTCGCGGGTGCCGAGCCTCGAGGACGAATTGAACGAGTCGCTCCTAAACAAGCAAAAATTAAATAATTTGAAAAACGCGGATTTTCGAAACGCCAGGATAAATACCGAGTGCCGGCAACCAAAGCCTTTTTTAGGTAATAAAACCAACCCATCGAGGGTAACGTGGGTAGTAGTGGTGGTCGTGCGACGCTTAGCAGGCATTTTTCGTGCCTACGGAAGAAAAGCAGTAAAATGCTGGGTGCTAGGGCTAGTGGGGACGATCCTATGCGCTGCGGGCCGAGCGCGGTGTGGAGGAAAGAGGGGTGAGGGGGCCGGGCGCCCAGCGACCGGGGCACACGTAAAGAGAGAGCAAAAGGGGCAGGCATGGCCGGGTCTCTGCCGCTTTTTTTTCGAAAAACCGCGCAACAAACAACCTCGAAACGGGGATCGGACATGCCCAACCACACTAGGCAGGCGAAAATTGATGGAAAGTTTTACGCACAATGATGGGCGGCCCGTCAAGCTCGTCGACTCCTCCACTCCTTTCTTACCGACTACACGTGTTTTTGGCGGCATTGCTACCTGAAAAATAAAATAAAATTGGAAACTTCAAAAAAAAAATAGATGGTGGATGAAACGAAAGGTACTCATTAAATTGACGGGCGGGAGAATTTTTAGGCGCTGCCAGGGAAGCAAAAAGAAATTATCCCCCCAAAGAAGGGCCCGCCCGGCGGTTAGTCATGACAAAAAGAGGCAGCAGACGCGTGTTGGATCCGGAAAAGACTTTTTGAAGCGGAACGCTGGCGTCTGGCCTAGGGTAATACCTGGATTGGCAGAAAACAGCATATCGTTGCCTGGGTATATAGTTGAATGCCGCTCTCTATCCCGAAATTCTGTATCCCGAAACTCCCAATCCCGAAACTCTCTACCCGAAAACTGCCAATCCTGAAACTCTCTATCCCGAAAACTCTCTATCCCGAAAACTCTTTATCCCGCAAGCTCTCTATCCCCAAAACTCTCTATCCCGAAACTCGGTATTTTGCGTTTCCTAACGCCCTACATCCTTGAAGGCATCGGAAAATCATTTTATCAAATTTCCGAAACCGAAAAATAGCGGAAAACTATTTACTTCAAAGATCTAATCTGGTGTTCGGCACGTTAAAGCTAGCTAACTTGTTTCGGGATATGGAGTTTCGGGCTAGAGTTTTCGGGATACGGAGTTTTCGGGATTGGCAGTTTTCCGGATAGGAATTTTTCGGGATAGAGAGTTTCGGGATTGGGAGTTTTTGGGATAGAGAGTTTCGGGATTGGGAGTTTCGGGATACAGAATTTCGGGATAGGGGAAATACCCCATATAGTTATCTATTGGCCAAGACTGTCACATAAATTTACGCGACGACGCATTACTCGCATTAGTTTTTTTGGTCATTATTGCGCTCCATTACGGCTCATGGTAAGAGTCTAGGAAACCCCCCCCCCAGCCGTAACTTTTCAGCCATACGTCCTATTAATGCGCCGAATATCTCAAAATGTTCGCCGTGGTCGAATTACGATAAACAAGTTGTTTTCTTGCGGCAAAAATTGCTAGAAATTTTTTTACAAGATTTTGAAAGTTGAAAAGATTAAGCCGCTGTGCTTCGATGTACTAGGAGTCTAAAACTCAAATATTTTTATTTTCCGCTATTTTTTTCGGCTCAAACGTACTGTAGGCTTAATCTCCAGAGCAAGAGCTACATTTTGGTACTATTGACAGCTCTGTACGTCAAAAGATAGCCGAGATACGAAAACTCACTTTGGAACAGCAAAAATTAACTAAAGAAAACCCAGACTGATAATTGTTAACAAAATTTTTCTAACAATTTTTGATGTAAGAAAACAACTTTTTTATAGTAATTCGACCACGGCGAACATTTTGAGATACTCGGCGCATAAAGGACGTATGGCGAAAAGTACGGCTGGGGGGGGGGTTTCCTAGACTTAGCCCGGCTCATAAATCTGTCTCAAGCACGGGCCGGTTTTTATCCCTCTGTGCCCGCGAGTACGGAGCGCGCTTTAGCAAACATCCAGTACTTTCCTGCCTATTTACCAACAAGTGTATGGTGTATTGCAACGGAACTTCATTTTGTTTTCGTAATTTACAACTTTACATGTTTGTCAGCAATTGCGAGAAGAAAGATAGTTTGCAGAAGAATTTCTTCTCGTAGTTTCATAGATTATACAGTGTGTGTCAAAAAGATAGGGACACCTTCTTTTTTGCGATTATCTCGACCCTTATCCATTTAGAGCAGCAGTCAAATAGTGGGTCTTGTAGAGCTTGAAACGGCACATTTTTTGATGTACTTGAAATATCGCTAAAATAAATAACGCCATTTTTATAAGCGAGAGAAGAAAACAGGGCAAAAACAGAAGGCAAAAAGATAGGGACACACTTTACATATAATTACCATCAACTTCGCGCTTGCAAATTACATGCTAATGAGGATTCCAAAGTCATCGCCATTTCTGACTTCCGGGTTTTCGGAGTAATCGTGAATCTGCATAGCCAAAAACTTCGTATCACCAATTAGCATGTAATTTGCAAGCGCGAAGTTCATGGTAATTATATGTAAAGTGTGTCCCTATCTTTTTGACACTTCTGTTTTTTTGCCCTGTTTTCTTCTCTCGCTTATAAAAATGGCGTTATTTATCTTAGCGATATTTCAAGTACATCAAAAAATGTGCCGTTTCAAGCTCTACAAGACCCACTATTTGACTGCTGCTCTAAATGGATAAGGGTCGAGATAATCGCAAAAAAGAAGGTGTCCCTATCTTTTTGACACACACTGTAGACTTCAAGGCTCATCAATTAATGGTCAAAGCCATGCGTATGGTAAGCACAATACTTAACGGAGGTTTCTCCGGTGGGCAAGACAGTGGTCTAAATTGTTTTACAAATTGTTTCAATGAAAACGGGCCATCGGCAAACCTGAACAAACGCTGTACAACACTGTTGCCCGGCATTACCGAAGATGTCTGACGGCAAAAGTGCATCTGTAGTAAGTTCAAGCCATAGGTGCGACGAACGTAGAAGGATGGAACGTCCGATTCTCGGTGATTTTGAGCCACAGCTTGAAGACGTCAATACCTCCACACAACCATCGTCACCCTCGTGAGATATGGGTTAAATTATTAATGAAAAACTATACAGGCTTTTGGATGCGTTGTCCGCGATAATGCAGTGCGAGCTCTTACTGAGTGACGGCGTAAAACTCACAAATGTTGCGCACAATTCTTGAAGTACACGCTCCTTGGTTCTCTTCCTTCTACACGTGCTCCTGTAGCTTCTTTTTCGAGCCAAGTGCACGCATTCACCGCACCGGTTTTCTTCTGGTCGCTCCCATCGCTCGGATTTTCTTTTACAGGAACTGAGATTCCATGGGCTGACAATTGGTGTTTTCAATTGCTGCCACTGTATGGAGTCGGTATTGGCAATTCAGTACATCCAGGAGAATAGTTCTAGCTTATGTTCTAGCTGAACAGTTTTTTGATTTCACAACGACTAGGCATTTTACAAAAGCTGGTATTGGAAACCAAGGACAGGAGGAACTTATAGCCGAAACTACGAAAAGAAATTCTTCTGCAAACTATCTTTCTTCTCGCAATTGCTGACAAACATGTAAAGTTGTGAATTACGAAAACAAAATGAAGTTCCGTTGCAATACACCATACACTTGTTGGTAAATAGGCTGGAAAGTACTGGATGTTTGCTAAAGCGCGCTCCGTACTCGCGGGCACAGAGGGATAAAAACCGGCCCGTGTCTCAAGCTCATCGTCACCTCGCCTTACGTGAAAACTATCTGGGGCCTAGGACAAAACCAGAGAATTACCAAAAACCAGCACCAAAATTTATAGAAATCGGGTTTTTGAGGCGGTCCATTTCTAGAAAGCCTCGCGAGAAGCGAAAACGACGAAAACTCGCTCAGGTCGACCCGTAAGGTCCAGCACGAAAATCGTTCCGTTGTGGAGCGCTTCGGAATTTTTCGAACAGTGGAGGTCGAAAAATAAATTCCAACATCAGATAATCATCGCCAATGTCGTCTAACAGGCAATTTGAAAATATTTATTTTTCTAATTTTTTTGGGAAAGTCGGCTCATCAGATCGACGTGGAATGAGATTCTGATCGAACTTGGGAGCAAAGGAAGATCTGTAGAGGCCAGAAATCGGGATACTAGCAGCTATTAGCATTTCAACCACAAGGCAAATGAATTAACACGACTTATCGATGCCTGCTGGATTCTTCCCGTTTCAAGCTCTCCCCAATCGCGGGCAAACGGCCCTGCTTAGTAGCATGCTGGACACTTGTTGACAGTATTTTTCCGCCACCCGGCTGCCAGTAAACAATTCGTTTTCACGTGTTTTCTTACGATTTCTTTGATAACTTTGAGTTTTTCAGCAAAAACTACCGATTGTCGGAAGTGCGAAGAATGGAGAGTCTCATTGAGTTGCTGCCAAAGCTGACCTCGACACTGCGTAAGGTACGTTTCCGTCTCCTTATGGTATCACGATACAAGCTTTGATAAACAGTTCCATTTTGGGTTTTGTAGAATTTGGGCTTATACGGGCCCTATTAATCGATACCTTCATTTGAAAAACTCTAGGCAGGCCCTACTATGTTTTTAAAAATAAGGTTACGGGCAGCAAGTGGTAGCTCTTAGCGTCGCCAAGAGAATCCGATCCATTCTTATTAGTTTTAGGGCAGTTGCGGGAAGATCGCCGTCATTGGAGGCTCTTTCGAATACACCGGTGCTCCCTATTTTGCCGCTATCACGGCCCTGAAGCTGGCAAGTTGAATTTTCTTTGCTTATTTTGGAATTTAGGGCGCTGATCTTGCACACGTCTTTTGTAACGAGGCCGCCGCGACAGCCATCAAGTCTTATTCGCCATCACTGATTGTATACCCGGGGTGGAAAGCCGAAGATGTGTTGTCGAAGTGAGTACTTGGACGTGGAATTTTCTTTACGATGGTAGTAATGCTTTGGCTTTTAGAATTGAGCGTGCGGAATGTATCGTCATGGGTTCCGGCATGGGACGAAGCGAAGAAGCGGGAACATTGGCTAAAGCTGTTTTCTCTTATATTGCCGAGCACCAGATGCCTGCCGTTTATGATGGTGTAGGTTTTATCCCAAATTTGCAGCTTCTTTTCAGGACGCCATTTTCTGGGCATGCCAATCGGACTTCAAGTTCCCAAAGTCGAAATACGTCGTTTTTACGCCAAATCGCGCGGAATTCGACCGGATGACGAAGAGATTTCTCGGATTCGAAACATTGAACGAAGAGAATGAGACCGCTCTACACGATGCCGTGAAGAAGCTGGTGGAACAGATCGGTGCCTCTATCCTTCTCAAGGGCCATGCGGACTATTATATGACTGTGGCAAAAGAAAGTGAGTCATTATTGTATTAGAATTTTATTGATGTTTAGGTGGTCTTTGTGATTTTGAGTCCGGGCTGCGGCGATGTGGTGGTCAAGGCGATATGTTGGCCGGCGCACTTGGAGTCACCTTGAATTGGGCAATGAAGTTGGCCAATTTCTTAAATTCACATGACTTCCTTAGATCATCCAAATCCGAGAAATCAATTGCGGCGGCGTGTAGAGCAAGCAGCTATGTCGTTCGGACGATCTCGAAACGGGCTTACGAAAAGGTGTTTTATGAATCTTTACATCTCATATGTTGACTATTCAGATCGGCCGCTCTGCTGACACTCCTGACATGATACAAGAACTTCCGGGCCTGCTACGGGACGTTGAGAAGCAATAATTCAACTTTCACATTTTGTGTACAAAGAATAGCAATGTATTTACTGAATAAAGTTTCTTTTCGTAACCCCCTTATCAGATGTCAGAGTTTAGATTACAGGAACTACATGGTGAAACGAAAGCTTGAACATGCATAAGAGAAAGTTGATAGTAGGAAACGATGCCGACTGGTCCTTCCCGTTTTGCTGTGCTGAAAATTGAAGATGACTCCGATGAGGAGTTCAAGACTCCAGCTCAGAACAAGCCGGTATCCTAATCCCAAGCTCCCAAATGTGTTATCTTTAGAAGAACAATCCAAAGTCAACAAGAACCATTCTTCCGGATGGCCTCATCGTCCACAAACAAGAGAAAAAGCGCAAGGGAAAAAAGAAGCCGCAGATCGTTGAGGTATTTTTAGCATATTTTTTGGAGGGAAGGGGTTCCTGAAACGTATTGGATGGTGTCTTTTCTTGAATTCCGAATTGGAGCTAGAATTTTCCAGGCGGAAACAGTGCTATTTGGTTCCGCCGTGGCCAATGAAGAGTCTACGGATGATGAGGTATCAAATTTACGAGAAAGTATCAAATTCTTAGGAGTTGAAAGAAGCGCTGAAGCGTAGTCTTGCTGCTGAAGACGTGGCCGGTGTCCGAGCTGCCGTTTCTGGTCCATCGATCCCAGACCCAAAGCCGGTATTGAATTAGCTGGCTTTACCTTAGTTGTATTTTTCAGGTTGATCCAAGGCTGGAGGGTCTGCTCACGTCTATGATGGAAAAAGAATTGGTCAAGCTCAAACAAGAGCTCCATGAGGAGAGGGAGAAAAAACATTTGGTATGTGATATAAAAAGATTTAATAATTTTTGACCTGCTAGTGTGACGAGGAGCGAACCAAATACAAGCTGCGCTACAACAAGTTGCTGGAATTGCTGCAAGAGGCCGAGTGTGGGGAGCAGTTGGCTTTTTTTAGAATTTTGTTTAGTGAAAGAGCACGTGCTACTGGTCCAGGATTTGAAAAAGAAGAACGCCACGATTCGCGATCTCAGCCATCAGTTGGATCGTCAACAGCAAGAGATCGAGAAGCTTCGTAGTATGCTGCCGAAGGTAAAGTCTACTTACTGTTAGTGTCACTAGGTCGCTTTTATTTTTAGAAATGAAAACGCTCGTGTACACGCCTTCTTCAATTTTATAACGGGACGTATTTTTGCTTCATATTACCATTTTTTTCAAGATCTTTTGATGAATAAGATAAACGGATTGATTTTGCGGCGCTGTCAGTTGACCCCAAAAAACTCCAAAAACTTTATGTGCATATCACAAATAGAACAAACTAAATACACAAGAAAATAGCAGACAAAACAAAAGTTACGAATCTGGTTGGGGCAACGATAAAGTCTTCCTGACGAGATTGTTAGCAATACGTTCGAACTGTGCTCGATCCTCGCGCCACATTTTTGCAGCATTGACGTTAGCCGCTGATTCATCATTTGGCTCTACAATGGGAATAATTTAGAAGTAATCAATACACTTACCGGCGAGCATACTAACGACAGAAAGGAGAATCTTCTCAACGCTTTGTACCGGCGACCATCGCTCGCTGCTCGTTTCGTAGCCGGTAGGATCATCACCAGGCGCGTGGAGAATCGAGATACAAACACGGCCGTCTTGGTAGATGTTCGGATGGAAGAGGTCGCAGGTAAATCTGAACGATTATTGCCGGATCCTGCACCAAAATTACCTCATTTTCGGCGGGCTGAGCGGATAGTCCTGGGGGAACGAAATACGTGCGGGGAATACCTAAGCCGATGTTCATTTAGGTAAAAAAAAGTAATTACCCCATAGGCGAAAGGAGTCGCTTCGGGGCCAGTAATCAAGCATTCCCATTCGAAGAAATTTTCTTCGTCAATCGGAGCTGCCAGAATTCCCTCCGGCGTATGCGACATCAATTCTAATAGATTCAATTTAAGTAATCCAAAACAAAACTACCTTTATATTCAGTCATCAGTCGCTTTAGCGCATAACCGGCCATGGCTTTTAAAGCTAAAAAGATGGCATTACTTTTCTATACGACGCTTTTCTCGGTATCAAACGCCCAGAACGCCAATGGTACATTACAAAAGAATACAAGTATCCATTTATTACCAGCATATTTCTAAAACTATTGCATCACAAGCTAACATCGGTAATGACCAGAAGTAAGCGACAAATCAACGTTGAAAATGCACAAGGAATGATTCACAGAATCCCCAAAGCCCTATCTATCTACACAATGAATTACTACATATTTAGGCTCGGTTCACTTTGATGAAATTGATGAGCCCATTGGTGCTGCCATCGTGGGTTGAAATGACGGTTGGGCTGCTCAGTTCCGGCTCGATGACTTTTGCTAGCTGCTTGCCCAGCTCAACTCTAAAAACAAATTGATAAATGAAGCATAACACTGAAAATTCCCTATGAATTGAAATATTTACCCCCATTGGTCGTAGCTGTTGATATCCCAGATGACACCTTGAACGTGGATCTTGTGCTCGTAGAGAGCGATGAGAGCGCCTAGGGTGAATGGCGAAACGATGGGCAGCATAATCGACGTGGTCGGACGGTTGCCTTCAAAGACCTAAAACAATATTTCAATCGAATCGAAAAACCGCACCTTGTGGGGACGAATCTTGGCAATCTTCTCGTCGTTCATCCCTGCGGCACGCAATTCGCTCTCGGCCTGTTCTGCGGATTTTCCCGTCATCAAAGCTTCAGTCTGGGCCAGGAAATTCGCCAACAGGATCTAAAATACAACAATTCCAAAAAAAAATAATATTTAGCCCACATTGTGGTGCAACCCGTCGCGGATTGGATTCAGAGTCTTCACAGGGGCAATGAAGTCGCACGGGATCAGTCGAGTGCCCTATAGAAAACATGAACAACCATTTTTACCAAAAACCTGATGGATAAGTTGGTAGAAGGCGTGCTGTCCGTTGGTGCCCGGCTCGCCCCAGACGATCGGACCCGTGCTGTAATCGACGCGAGCTCCGGACCTAAAAGAATTACAGTTACCGAACTCAAATATAATCCCCAACCTGGTCACAAATTTGCCGTTGCTTTCCATGTCACCCTGCTGGAAGTAGGCGGCGAAGCGGTGTAGGTATCTAAATAGCAGCTGTGTGGAGAAGAAAATGTGCGATTACTGATCGTAGGGAAGGAGAGCATGCGTCTCAGCGTTGTAGACGTTATTGTAGAGCACACCAAGCAGGGCCATGAGCACAGGGATCTGGGGCAACGGGTTAATAAAGAAAGATCGAATTACATTTTCAGCCAGAGGTGTCGCCTGGAAATGCTTGTCGGCCAGGTAGGCGCCTTCGAGCAGTTTCTCGAAATTCTTGAAGCCGATGTGGAGTGCGATGCTGAGCCCGATCGCAGACCAGAGCGAGTAACGGCCACCGACCCACTAAAAATGTAAATTTAAAGGGATGCCGATGGCATTGATCGATCCCCCTGATCGACTTTTTGGCACGTAGATGCCGTTGTTATCCCTTTTAAAAAAAAACGTACATCCCAGAACTCGAACATGTTCTCCTTCGCGATCCCGAAAGCAACCACTTTTTCCGTGTTGGTGGAAAGGGCGACGAAATGCTTGGCGACGTGGCTAATGTCTCCGGCCTTCTTGATAAACCACTCCTTGGCCGTCTCAGCATTCGTGATAGTTTCCTGCGTGGTGAAGGTCTTCGAAGCGATGATGAAAAGGGTCGTTTCGGGGATCCAATTTCTTCAGCACCTATAAACAAAAAAGCCAAGTACAAAATCACGAAGGTAGCGATCACCTCAGCAATGTGGGTCCCATCGATGTTGCTGACGAAATGCACGTTGGGCCCAACCTGATAATGCTTCAAGGCCTCGGTCACCATGAGTGGGCCCTGAAAAAAAATCAAACCAACCAGTTTCTCTTACCAAATCAGAGCCGCCAATTCCAATGTTCACCACGTCGGTAATTTTCTTTCCAGTGTAGCCGAGCCATTGTCCAGAGATGATCTGCTCACAAAATTCCGACATGTGGGCGAGAACCGCTTTCACGGCAGGCATCACCTAAAAACATATGAAACCTAGAAACGTCCACTTACATCCTTCCCATCGACCATGATTGGGCGATTTTCCCGGTTCCGGAGGGCGATGTGGAGCACTGCACGATCTTCAGTAAAGTTGATTCTTTCTCCATTGAACATGGCGTCGCGCATAGCAGTCACTTTGCGCGATTCAGCCTAAAAACTGGATTCTTCGAATGACTAAACAACCCACCACTTTCAACAGAAGTTCCAGGGTCTTCACAGTAATGCGATGTTTCGAGAAATCGAAGAGAATTGCGCCATCAGGGGTCGTCAGTAGGCGACTAAATCCATATTTCCTTTTTTTGTTCAAAGAAAGCTACCTGAAGGTCTCAAAACGCTTCGGATCCTTCTCAAATTCTTCGCTTATCTTCAGTTTTCCCTCTTCGTTCGCCTTCACATGGGCCACCAAATTTTGGAATTCCGGATCACGAGATAGCGTCATCTGGAAAAAAACGTTTATTTCTTCTACAACCCAGAAGAATGCCAACAAAGAAGACACGAAGAGAAATCCTAACTACATCGAAGTAAATATAATGCTCTAGGCTTCATTTTGAGCCTTCCAATTTCGGTACTCTTGCAATTTTTGTTCCTTCTCAGTCATCCCCGTCCTGCGATAATGAGAGCGCTCGGCGAGGTAATCTTCGGTTACTTTCGCACGAAAATCCGGATCGTGAAATCTTTCATATTTGCATCTATTGAAGGCGTTGAGCGTCTCCTTGCAAGTTGACAGGCCGATGGCAGCGCCCTCCTTCTTGAAGCATTCAACTAGCTTCAAATAAAACGGGTGGCATTCCTTGCGCTCGAGTTGATCGTTCATTCGCTTCGGAATCAGGACATCGGCTTCGATCTTGCGCAATGTCCGATCGTCAGGATCGCCGACGCCGTGCGGGCCGCCGATTGCTCGCCCCGGGAGGATGCTTTTTCGTACGCGATAGCGCTTTCCCGATTCCGGATCCGTGTAGATGTCTCCTTCTTTGAGGCTGTGCAGGTCATCAGTTATTAGTAGGCCGTCGTCGGCGGAACTAGTTTTCGGGTCCATCTACTTCGTATGCCGGTCCTCTTTCTCTCAGTCCGGGCTGGAAAGTAGGTTTGTAAACAGCGCTTGTTGTAATAACGGAAACGAAAAAGGGAGCTCTCTGACAGAATTACGCGCTTGTTAAACAGTAAAGGGTCAATTTCGGAAACAGCTTTCATCGGATTTGCCAAAATATAAAGTTTCCAACAAATATATGGCATCATCTTTCTCGCGTGTCTCATAAGCTCAAATTTGGACGCGCTGACATAAAGTAAGCCTAGCAGCAATAAGCGTTATCTTTGGCCTTATTTGCAGAATTCGAATCGATTGAGAAGAACAATAACAATTTTCCCGAACTTGGCACCCGATTTTTGGCAAAAATTTTCCGTGGGCCTACTAATGCCGACTGACTGCCGTGCACTAATCGCAAATTTTGGACTGGCGCCCTGCGACCGCGACGCATTCCTATAACACAAAGCGTTCCCAATTCAATTGCGGTCGATAAATGTGTTCCTTTTTCTTTGTTGACCTTTTATTCTTATTCGAGCCTCATACCCCTTCCGTTCCCCCGTTGAGCGTTTTAGAAAATGCAGAAATTCCTTCTGTTTCCCCCAGATCGGCTTATGGCTAAATTTAAGCTAACGTCAAGCTGAGAAAGGATTTCTGACCTGCTTACCAAATTTCTGTCCCGTATTTGTTTATGTTTCCACTTATTCCCCCCGTTTTTCTTGCCAGCATACATTCCGTTTTTAGAAGCAATTGGGCAGTTAACGGCATGGCTGACGTGGAGATGGAAAACCCAGCTGCCGAAATGAAGACCGAGGAGGCACCAGCAACCGCTGCCGCCGAAGTCGCTAGCACGGTACATATTTTTAAAGGTTTAGGCGGCATGAACGGCTTTTAGTCACTCCGTTTATAAGCTCCCCTTTCTTTTTAGGCAACCACAACCACCACCACGACTACCCCGGCCGCCACAACCGCTGCCGTCGAAGATTCAGCATATGCTGAGGATGCGACTTACAAGGCGCTTCGAGGCCAACAAGTCAACGTCCCGGTCGCAGTAGCCTTGATGAAGCTCTTCGAGGATACGACCGCTGAACCCGCTGATGTCGATGACAAAGTTGTTGAGATGCTCAAATCGTTCGCGAACGAGCAGGCCACCTACATAGTCGAAGAGCTGCGGGTCAGTCTTTTTTCTATCTTGTTAATGACAATGACTTTTTGAGCCCACAGACCCCAACGTTTTTCAGAAGTCGAAACTCTTCGGTGTCCACAACCGGCCTCAATATTTGATGTCGGTGATGCGCAACTTCCGGGACCGAGTCCGTAATTTCGGCGCTTCGACTGTCATGGCAGGACAACTGCTCTGCGGCCCCGATCAGACGAAGATGCAAGAAATCCTTGATCGCACCAAGTACACAATCGAAGTCACTGTTGGCCAGAGAAAATATGGAGGTCCTCCACCCGACTGGGATGGACCGACTGGCGGAAATGGACTTGAGGTTCACATTACTCGATTCTGCTAATCGCATTATTTAGGTCTACATCGGCCACATCCCTCATGAGATCTACGAAGATGTCTTGATCCCGGTCTTTGAAGAAGTTGGCAAAATCTGGGACCTGAGGCTAATGATGGATCCCCTCACTGGAAAGAACCGCGGTTACGCGTTTCTGACCTACTGCGACAAGGAAAGCGCGAAAGCTGCCGCTAAGAAGGTATGCATTCTTCTTTTTCTTTGCTTCATGACTCGGCTCATCTTCTTCTACCTTCGTCTCCATGTATTTTCGTATCTTTTGTACTGATCATTCGCATGACGTATTTTGTGGTGACGGCGCGTTTGGCCTACCATTATCACCATCAATTTCCAAGACACACCGTTCGATTTTCTGATCGAAAACTACAACGTGTTTTTGGTTCCCAAATTCCGAACGAGTGTGTTTTTAGTTTGACGGCCACGAAATTGCCCCTGGAAAAACGCTGAAAGTCAACGTCTCTGTAGCCAACACGCGGCTATTCATTGGAAACATTCCCAAGTCAAAATCCAAAGACGAAATTCTGGAAGAGCTAAAAAGTCATGCAGGTAATTTTCGCCTCTGTGTAATAGGTCATGTATCGGTGCGTGTCGTGTATTGAGCTGTATTATTGTCTGTTTTTAGAGGGCGTAGAGGATATTATCATCTACACTAACCCGGATGCTCCCGATAAGTTCAAGAACCGCGGCTTCTGCTTCGTCGACTTCGTGGACCACAAATCGGCTTCAGATGCAAAGAGGAAGTTCACCCAAGGAAAAAACAAAGCGGTAATATAATGAATGCGTCTCTGTATAGTTTTTGTTGTAGACTAAACCGTTCAACAGCGAATTGGTGGTCGATTGGGCCGAGCAGCAAGAGGAGCCAGATGAGGAGACGATGGGCAAAGTGAAGGTCGTCTACGTCAGAAATCTCAAAGAGGTCCGCAATGTTTTTTTTTGTTATGATGATTTTAACCGTGCTCAATTGTAATTAACTAATCCAACTTGTTATTTCAGGCTGTCACCGAAGAGAAGTTAAAGGAAATGTTCGCACCCTTTGGCGAGATCGAGCGCATCAAGAAGATGAAGGATTACGCCTTTATTCACTACAAGGAACGCGAACCTGCCGTGAAGGCCATCGAAGAGCTCAACAACAAGGAGATCGAAGGCGTCAACATCGAAGTGTCACTTGCCAAGCCGATGAGCGAAAAGAAGAAGCCACGCACCGCTGGCGGAGGTGGTGGCGGCGGACCCGGCGGACCCGGTGCCCACCGCGGCAGAGGGTAATTTATTGCGCTCTTGATTTTTCTATTGCTTTATTTAGATTCGGAGGACAAGGCTTTGGACGCGGAGGTGGTGGCGGTGGCCCCAACATGTTCCCTAACCGTGGTGGCTACGATATGTATGGCGGCGGTGGCGGCCCCGGCTACGATATGTACGGCGGTGGCAACTACGGTGGATATGGTGAGGATTTGTTGCGATACTTGTAACGCGATTTAGATGGTGGCTACGGCGGTGGATATGGAGGCGGTTACGGGATGGGCGGCGGCCCTGGAGGTTATGGCGGCGGCTACGGTGATGGTGGTTATGGCGGCGGCTGGGGCGGATATGGCGGCGGCTACGGAGGCGGACCGCGTGGTCGAGGAGGTCCTCGTGGTGGCGGTCCCCGTGGAGGCTTCGTACCCCGTGGCGGACCCCGTGGTGGACCTGCCGGCAACCGCGGCCGAGGCAAGCGACCGGGAGACTGGAACGGAGGCCCGGCTTCAAAACGTGATAATGGTGCACCAGACTTTAGCGCCGACGTCAATATGAGCTCTTTCTAACCCGTTAATTTACTTATATTTCCCCGCCGATCTTTATCCTAATTTATTTGTTGTCTGTTGGGCCCTTCGGAATTTGTCATTTTCATTTGCCCTCCGCGACCCGGATCCCAATGTTCCGATAGTTGTTCTTTGTTGCAACTAACGATCTGTCATTTTTACGGATTTACACTCCTCGTGTCCAGAAGGTCTCGTCTTTTTCAATAAACTTATTGGTTCAATGCAAAAATGGACCTTCCATTTCAACAGTATGTTGCAACCGCCTTGCAAAACGCTATTTCGACACTCGATGCGTGGGGCGGGCCTTGAAAGCGGGTGGGGGATGGGTTCCCGATCCAAGGACATTTTCTCTGGGGCTCTGCTTCCTGGCGCTCTTTCGCATCGGCGATCAATAGGCGCGTCGCGTGCTGCGTGGCGAAAGCTTCCTCGGCGCCTCGTGACTCGCCATTGCTAGGACGAGCGGCTGGCATATATTGGCTGAGGTTCCCAAATTTAAACCTATGGACAATATCCAGAAAATACCGTCGTTTTTCAGTTTTCTATGCTTATCAGCGCCCAACGGCTTTTGAAGGATTTGTGACAGTTGAAAGAAGATCTGGAAGAGCAGCCGAAGCGCCCCCACATCTGCCTATTGATTGAATATGTAAGTTTTGGGGATTAAGATTTACGAACCGAGAAACATTGTCAGCATTAATAGCAAAGGGTTAATGACTGATAGTCATAATAGGATCCTTATCTAATCACCTATGTAAATGGAGCGAGTGATAACAAATCGTTTCCAGAATTGAAGTCATTTTGTTACTCCCTCCCCAACCCACCGATATAAATCAACTCGCGAAGATGAACTCCAAGTTAGTTTTTCAAACGTTTCTCTTCCCTATGGCTCTTCTACTAGTTGGCGGGAGTCGGGTTATCCCTAGCCGATTCAACCGCATAATGAAAGCTATTACAGTATACCATTTCATCACTCCCTTTTGCAGATTGGTCGCGACCCCCTCCACCCAAATGCTTACCCCGGCGTCCTTTAGCAAAGTACCCGAGGCCGAGACTCCCAAAGCGAGCAAAACCAAGAAGATCAGGTGGGTGATAAGGAAATCAATAAAGTGACGTAAATGACGAAATTTGGAGACGGTGTAGTAGCGGTAGACCATTAAATCCTAATATGACGAAATTTATAGACGCGCACCTCGTCGTGTCCAGCACTCGATTTCCATCTCCACCGAGGCCCCGGTGAGCAGCCCATCCGCTCGGAAATCCCACTCCGTCTCCCCACCGATGATCGGTTGCTATGCCGGCGGAAAGTGGGCCGATAGCCCTTCGGCTAGGCAAGCTTTTTGTATAATTATGATTTTAAGCCGGATTAATGATAATATCGATTGAACGTCATTTTTTCAGATCCATTCCCCTCCCGCCCACCACGTGGATTGAGGAATTTTCCTCGGCCTCGTCCTCGACCTCCAACAACACCTCTGATTCGGAGAATTCTTCGCCCGAGCCCCAGCCTGCGTTCTTGACCCCGAAGACCTGCCGTCAGAGTGCACGAGCTGAGGTGAGAATCATCGAGAGTAGTCCATTAAACACATTGTAGTCTCCATTAAATAAATATACCCTCCCGAAATTCATGACATAATCCCCCAATTTACAGCTCTCCTCCTCCCCTGCCTCTCTTGGACGTCGCATGTGCCCCCTGCAGCTGATCTCCGAGATCACCGCCGTCTCCATTGGCAATTAGCCACTGCCCCCACCCCAATTCGAGAATTCTAGCTATGGCCGTTTCCGGCGATCGAATTTTTGGTCTCAAAAAAGTTGTATTTTTGAAAATTTTGCTTTAATTCCACTGAAAATGCGATCCCGTCGTCTCCGTGCCCCCCGTTAGACATCGATCAAATAGCATCTCGGCCCCCCTACTATTACCTCGCCCGACCCCCAAAATGAACAAACGGGCTTCTCCCCCTAGCAAAATCGGCGTGACCCCGATTTATTGTTGTGCTTTTCCCCGGATTTTGTATGGGATTATGGGGGATCTTTTCGAAAAATTCCGACCATCGCCTCCATAATCCCATAAACCACCATAACTGGCCTTTATTCCCCCTCTTGGAAACCCCCAATGCGAGTAGACTTTATTTTGTGCTGTGTTCGTCTGTGATCGTCTCCGAAAGCAGATTTCTGAATTCAGGCCCCCGCTTCGCCTCCACGAAAAAAATCCCTAGAGCGCGTTCGGTGGGCCTCGAGTCTTTATGACTTCGGGTCCCTGTCGCTCGAAAACATTGCCGAGAAAACCGGCCACGCTTTTTTTGGACAACTCGTAATTTGTCCAAAAGTCTAGCCACCCAAATCGATATCCCTTCCCGTCCACCACCACCACCACTCACCCATCGATTGTACACACAATATTGTTCTGTACGTCTCTCTGTCTATCTTTGCCCCCGTGTACATAGCGCATACGGTTGCAACGTAGCGCGAAAGTCGGGCGTACTGCTCGCTCTCGTCGGCTACTTCACATTCGCACACCCCTTTACCTATCTATCCAAAAATTACTCTTCAAATCCACACCACTCTCCTCCTTCGGGTTCGGCTTGTCTCTGTATTTCCAAATCTATTATCAGCGTGTCCCTCCCGTTTGATAGTTCATGGTGGCCAGCGACCCAGCGGTGTCTAGGTGCCCATGCTTTTAGGGCCCACACCTTGGGCCGGTCCGCCCGCCTTCCCCGGAACAGTCTCCAAGCCCAGTCCCTCCACCTGTTATAATTCTGCACCTTATTCCTGGACGTGTAAGGCTAATATCGATTCTCGCATATGGTTTCGGGTTGACTGGCCGGCGGCGATTGGTTGATCTGAATTTAAGAATTATTAATTTTAAGTTTGACCAATCATCGTCGTGTTCTTCTCTCGAGCAAAATTGCATTTCCGGGAGAGCTGTCCAGGCTTTTAAGCCTGACCTCACGAGGGCCGTTTTTAAGTGATGATGGAGTTTGGCGATTTTTTTATAAAAAATGGCTCATTCGATAGAGCACGAAATTCTGAACAAGTTCTAGCTTTAAAAAACTGCTGAACGATATTTTCGAGAAAAAAATACCCTAAATTTGGCTCTTGTGAAGCGGCCGTCAATAATAGGCCAAATCCGCCATTTCTTAACGAATTTTCGCGAAGAACCTTATCGTTTGGAAAGTTAAAGATAAGACTTGGTCAAAATTTCAAGCTCTATCGAATGAGCCGCAAAACAGCGCAACGCCCCCCAATTATCACCTAAAACGGCCCCCGTCAGCTCTTTCCCGCTCCTCTCACCTCCCCCAACTCTCGCCCTAACCATTCCCAAGTCAGAAACACCACCTCTAAGTCACTCGCCCAATCCCTGTACATAGACGGTTCGTGCAGCTTAGCCCGAAACACGCGTACAAATAGCTAATTGCGAAGGAATATGACGGATAGTGAGGGCACTTCTCGTAATTGCCATCGGCTACCCCACATTTCTTCGCATATTTCTCTTTTCCCTCCTTCTCCCAAAATCGCGCGCTTCCACCATCACCCCCGCGCGTTTCTAAATACCATCAGAATACCCCTACCATCTGTCAATGTAGATCAGCCTACTTTCGATACCCTAGGCTGGGCCTAATAATGGCTTGTCGTTTCATCAAACAAGCCCCTCTAATACCACCATCCCGAACACGGATTTTTTGGGTTTGCACCTTCGCCCGGCGAAGATGCAAGCCTTTTTTGCCGAGTTCCAAATCATACAAAAAACGTCGCCCAAACCAAACTGTTGTTATTTCGTAACTTGTTCCATCGTTCTGGTCAATAAATGGGTTGACGAAAGACTTTTTATATGAATCGCACCGTATCACAGAGTATCACAACGAGACCAGTATTCAGAAGTTCCTTGTGTAGCGCGCTTGGAATGCTGCCTAGAATACACTTAAAAAAAGTAGGTACGGGAAATACCGTGTAATCGTGAGTGCCGATCTGTTGATCATTCTCCAGGCACTTTGGGCGGATCATGAAATTGGCGAGCTCCACGACAACTGCCCGGCTATCCTGGAATTAAACTTCATGAAAACTATGGCCGGAAACAACGTACATATAAGGCGACGTTTCGCACTTCGGGGTTCAAAAACAGATGAAATTCAGCCCGGTGCTCTAAAACGAGAAAGTTATACTCATCTCAAACACGCGGGGAGCCAAGCAAAAACGTTTAATATCTTTCCTACCTTCCGCTTTTAGCTTCTTCAAAAGTGCCGGCGGCAATGAAAGAGAACAGATTTGACCGAGGGCTTCCCGATAGTGATGTCGCAGATAATCCCGATAGCCCATCGGAGCCCAACTGCAAAAAAATAATAAATTAGACAGGGTAGCAACAGACTTACGACGTGTCTAATTTGTGCATGACCTGGTTGCGGAGCTCGAAGTCGTACTCGAGGATTGGCGTCTCATACTTGTCCATGAACCTAATCATCACGCCTTCCAGCCTAAAAAAAATTTGATTTTTTAAAAGAGTATCGATACTTTCTCCGTTTGAGCAAGTTGCGAGCGAGTTCGACTTGCGCCTCGCAATATTCGACTACATCCTTGGAGGTACATCTCTGAAAATCAGGAAGTTTCGTAAAGCGCACGACTTTATCTAGAATAATAAAAAACACACCTTGACTGGCAATTGTTCAAAATTCTTCTCAATAAACGAGCTCGACGGATAGCAGCCGTATTGGTACAATAGTTGATGAAAAGCTGCCCTCAGAAAGTTCATCATTTCATTCGCGAACTCTGGATTTTGATAGCTATTCAGGTCCAAAAGAATATTACGATACCTTGATCTGCTGTAAGACGCCTACCCGGCCTTCCATACGCCAATTCTTGTGAGTCACCCATGCTAAAACCATAAAATGAAACTTTTGCCTGTAGCCAATTCACTCGAAAGAGAAAATTAATTGGAAGCAACCGATTAGACGCTTTTCTGACTACAAATCACCAAAAAAATTTATCGATGAGATCAAGAGTTTGTTGTGGCTAGATGGCTTCGTTAGACTTGTTCCAGCTCTTCCTCCACATACTCAACGTCATCTTCTAAACGAGGGATTTCTAACAAAGTTACGTTTCTACCTGAAGCTGAAGATGGCCTCTCGTCTTCTGAATCGCTAATATCCACGCAATCATTTAGGACCTCGACTTCCTAGAAAAGCAATTACGCATCATATCCCTTACTTACCAGAATTCGTCCGTTCTTGTCAGGCTGATTCTGCTCGGTTGGTGAAGCTGAAAAACCAATAAAAATTTCCATTTGGTGACACATGCCTGGGCCGTTCGAATTCTTCAAAACAGCATCGTAAGATTTCCTTTCTGCTCTCGCCAATCGCTTGTCTCGTTGATGGAGCCTCGATTTCAATATCTTAAGACGTTGTTTCTTTTCTGTTTTCACCTACCTCGCAGCTTCTTCTTTAGAGCCTCGTTAGCACGGTGGAGACGAACAGAGAGCTTTGCCTTGGCTAAAGCTTCATCCCTCTGCTCACGCAAGCTTCTATTTTCAGCTTCTAACGTTGCCACCTGATCGGATCCAGTCTCGCTTGATCCCCTGAATCAACTTGAAAAATCCGTGCTTCTTCCTACCGCAGTTTGCTCCTTTTTGTAAGCCTTTTGAGCTCTATATTCAACCCATTGCATTCCTGACTCTTCTCGGATAACTTGGCCGTCAAGTTCCCGATCGTTTCATGCAATTGCCTATAAAAATAAAGGATTCTCTTTACCTCACTTACATCAACAATAAATCGCGTTGTCTCTCAGGATTCTCGGTGGAGGAACTGGCTGAAATACTCTAAGAAAACAATTTTGGATTGAAATTTTCTGCCTTACTTTTAAATTCTTCAGCTCTCGTTCCGTCACATCAAGCTTCCGCTTCAACGTATTTTCTACCTTTCGAAACGTACTTATTTCCGTCTTCGCGCTATCCAAATCTTTTTTTAGAGCTTCCTAAAGAGCATAGGTTTCGAAAATTGCTCTTACGATAATTTGATTAGTGGCGGTTTCATCCGGTGACGCAGAAGTCGATGCTTCTTGGGAAGGCGCAAACTCCGTTGGGGAATCCATTCACTTTTAGTAATTTTAGTTTATTGCTAATCTTTACAGTTTTTCGATGTGTTTCGTCCTTTAACCGCTGCCGGGAAATTTTGAAAGGTGAGCTGAGGCCGCCAGACTACAATTTACACCAGGGTCCCGCCACGGGATAGCCCACCAAGGGGCCGTGCACGACTTTCCTTCCATTTTTCTGCTAAACTTCTTTCTTTTCTTGGATGGTGTAATTTCCAATTGTCTCTCTGTCTGATCTCTATTAACTAATTTTCTTTTTGCAGGTAAAATGGTCAAGCCAAAGCAGGGCGAGAAGAAGAGGAACACCATCAGCGAGGTGGTGACCCGCGAATACACCATCAACCTGCACAAGCGCCTCCACGGAATCGGCTTCAAGAAGCGTGCTCCCCGCGCCGTCGACGAGATCCGCAAGTTCGCCGAGGAACAAATGAAGACCAAGGACGTACGCGTTGACATTCGCCTTAACAAGGCGGTCTGGTCCAAGGGAATCAGGTAAATTCTATTTCTGGTTAGTAGAACCTCTACTCGTGGACAACCGTAACGTGGTGTAGAGGTTAAACGTCCTTACGGTGGACTGGGGAACAACTGTGATGGGTTTGGACAGACCCAAAACAGCCCCGTGAAACCGCGAAAGGATGGCCAAGTCCATAAAAAGTGTGCGGTCAGCTGTCCTCAGCCGCACACTGTTTAGAAAGTGGGTTTTTATTTTATTCGTACCTCGTTATTGTGAGCGTTTATAAGGATTTGTTTAGGAACGTCCCCTACCGCATCCGCGTTCGTCTTAGCCGCCGCCGCAACGATGATGAGGACAGCCCGCACAAGCTCTACACCCTCGTCACCTACGTGCCTTGCACCAACTTCAAGAAGCTCACCAACGTTAACGTCGACAACGACGAGTAACTTTTGTTGTTTTGATTGTTGATAAATTCTTGTTTCTTGAGAAGCGTTGTAGGGGGAAATACATCGGATTTGGGCATGGGGCTGCACATTGTAAAACAGCATCGCAGGCGATTTGTTTGCAAGACTTGCATATTCTCGGTGGGTAGCTTGCTTTCATGGCAGATAATATCGGCGACCTCGCGATGCGCAGTTTGGCGGCTTGTTTTTTACTCGTTTTACTGGTATCTGCTGGATTTGATCAACTGTTGTCCCAGAACGTTTCCAATCAGGAGTATCATGGACAACTCCGCCGTTTTGACGGGCTGCCATTTGAGGAAGGGGTTATTTGTGGGACGTCGCTCATCTGTGGCAGGAGTTACGAGTCGGTTAATAATTGAAGATATTTTATAGATGCGTTTTTTTCAGGCGCGTACTGACACGGCAGAGAGAATTCGTTCTGCAAATTTCCGAGCTGAAGGACTCGGCATTGTTCAACATGCGAACGTTAGTAGTAAATATTTTGGGTCTATTATCACGATCCTGCAGGGTTGAAACTCTATCCGCTATTTTCAGAAATGAGAACGTGGAGTTGTGGCAACGCCAGAGCCTGTATTGCAACGACAGGCTGATCATGGCCTTCATCTTCGACAACGTGACGGATCTCCGGCTACATTGCGCTTGGACAGGTTGAGAGCCTCGACAGTTTGTTATTGCTTGCAGGACATGGACTGGAACCGGGCTGCGTGCTGGCCCCTGAGCATGTGCCGGGGGCATTGGAGGAGAGTCCCAGCTCCCCGTTTCAAGTTTTGCTCCCAGACGTTGTGGCGCGTAGGCTGGTCGAAGCGCGGGCTCGACTCGGATGCCCGGAAAACATTGACAATGTAGTGGGTGCCGGATGGAAAATTATTACGATTTCTAGACTCCCGATGAGCTATACTTATGCCGGGATCGTTGCACGTCACTCGGCCTCCATCCACTGCTCACCCCCGTGCTCTGGGTGCTGTTTATGGGCTCGCTGATGGTAGTTTTGGCCGAGAAAAGAGTTCGCCTTAGATATTGGTATTCAACCAAGCGCCGAACCGCCCACATCCAATGTTCCACCACTGACCATCACCGCCACTGCAGAAGCTACTCAAACCCCGCCATGATAAACCGAATTAATCTCTTTACTTTCCGTTAGCACCTAGGGAGAACACTCGGATAAACGTTTTCTATCTCCTGTCTGCACAATCAAGAAGCCATCATTGTATTCTTTCAACAAAGTGCCATTTCAACTGAATTGCGACCCTCAAATCAAGCAATGTGCTTTATTAGTCGAAAATCAACCGTATAAACATTGACAAATAAATGTAGGCCACAATGAGATCATTGGAAAGGGTAATTAGGGGGCAGGGAGGCAAAAACGTTAGTGCTTTACTTCTTCTTGGGAGCGGCCTTCTTCGGGGATCCACCCTTGTAGGCGGCCTTCTCCTTTTCGTAGCGGGCCTTGTCGGTGGCGGCGAGCTTCTCCCACTTGCTCTTGTCCTTCACGTTTCCCCATTCAACTCCGGCGGCCTGGAGAAGAAAATATAAACGATCATCGCCAATATTGGAACTGGGATCTTAGACCGAGCTAGGCTATACAAGAAAGGCACTTATCGCTCTCGATCGCTATTGGCCCAATATTGAATAATTAATTACCTTGGAGACCTCGGTGACGGGCATGCCAGGCTTGGTAAGACGGGCACGGTTCTCGGCCAACCAGATCATGTAGGCGGTCTTTCCGCGCTTGGGGGCGTTCGGGTCCTTCTTGGCCTTCACCTTCCTTTCCTTCTAAAAAGTGCAAGCTGAGAAAAATCTGATCCAAGAAACGGCAAATTTCCAAACATTCATTAAAAAAATACCTTGGGCGACTTGGCAGCCTTAACGGGCTTGACGGCCTTCTTGGGGGAAGCAGACTTCTTCGCGGGACGGGCCATTTCTGGAAAGGAATAGATAAATATGCCTCAAAGTCAATAAGAAATTATAGAAATTTGCAAAGCAATGAAAAGATATCTATAAAACCTAGGGGGATGCGAGAGTAAAAAGCTAAGCAAGGAAAACGGGCACTGTAAGAAGCACTGCTGGATGGCTATAGAATAAAAACAAGGCCTAATAAAAAGTAAATCCAAGTAACTAGACCAACCCAAGGGTCCTAAATCAAAAGCGAATGCAAGGGTGGGGCAAGTTGTACGAATGGCTTGGCTTGGTGCTAGCGTACCCCGTCGACTTGAAGGGGCGGAGTCGAGAAGGGGATGCAGATACAAGGGGCTAGGTGGGAAGAGACTGGGGCAGAGTGAGAGACCCAGGCCGGCTCGGGTTGGCGCTTCGTTTGAATGGAGACGCCGTTGGGCTGGCAAGCCGCCAGTAAGGCCTGCGGGCAATAATATCAATACTATGGCCGAGGTTCTGAAGGGACAATGAAAAGCGTGGTAGATTGGTGGATAGGTCTGGGCCGAGGGCAAAAAGCGGCGTGGAGAGACAAGAAGCTATGAAAAAATCTGAGTTTAAAGCAGGCGGCTTGTAATTACTGAGCTAGTATTTTGGTAGCTACAAGCGCCAGAAAATTATGAAGTAGCTATGGGTGCAATAAGACAGTGCGACAATCGTAGAGAGCCTAACAAAATCTGGTCAGCGACCAAAAAAAGGCGAAAATCGATTTTAGGCGGGAAAAGTTTCAATAAATAAGTGAAAATGTTTTCGTTGGTGAAAAGAAATTCCGTTTTGCAACCATCAGGCAAATGAAATTACGGTGATCAGGGTGCTAAATTAAATACCAGGGATTTTGGGCACTTTGGCGGTGAGAAAGTTTGCAAAAAAGAAAAAGTTTTTAGTTTTTTTAGATTTGAAAAATCGCAAAAACTTGCCAAACAAATGCGGAGTTCTGAATAAAAACCGAAAGCTTCATGAAATCTGCTGATTTGAGGTGGGTTGGAACAAGACCCGCGCTAGCAAGAAGTGGTTAACCAAACCAAACCGGAACCAAACCGGTTTTCAGGTAGTTTTGCTAGCTGCGACAGCTGATTCGATAGAGCTTGAAATTCTGAACAATTCCCTTCTTTCCAAAATCGCCCAACGACTATGCGCTTCGAGAAAATTTTCTTTGAAGGGGCCGATTTTAACAAGGACCCTTTCCACCATGAGTTTTTGAAATATGGGGTCCGCAGAGTTTGGAGCTCTAGCGACTGAGCGAGGTTACAAAGCAAGGATGCTAAAACACCTAAAATGACGCCTTGCAAGCTAGATTGTAACATTTTAGGCAAATTTATCGGTTTCGACGTCTATTTGATCTATTGGGTGATTACGAGGTTGCATCGGCGTTAGATCGATGTAACTATCGTGACAAATGTCAGCAGATCCCCCCTCGCACCCTGGGTCATTGGATCAGTTGGTGGCCTCTCGCACCCGTACGTTGGCGCCAAAACCGTGTCCTCAGGCTGTACCGGGCGGGGGGCTGGGGACATACATTCTATTCTGTGATGGGGGCACCTGTCGTGGGGCCGGGGTGCTAATCCCGGGGGGTATTCCGCATATTGCCCCGGGCCATACTACCGTAACCCACGCGGTCATCGCGGGTCGAAGGATTTATGGCGGGAATAGCCTTCGTCGAGATGCGTGAAAATCTGCGGTGAAGGAGAAGTGGAAGCTCGAATTTAAGGTTGGCCACACTGAAATCGGGCTGAAAACGGTGTAAACCTTAGGCCGAGGACGCTGCTCTTTTTCAGCTTTTAAAATATTGCTACAATCTGTACAACCCCGGGTACTGGACTGTTAGCAGGGGGATTTTGTTTTTCTTCCTCTGCTTAATTAACAACGAAAAGCTGATTGTAAAAAATAAATAAGTGTTTTCTTAAAAATGGTTTTAGCAGTTTCTGGTCATTTTTCGTAAATTTTTGACAAAAATGTAAAAATTTTTCGAAAATTTGTATAAATTTTTTATGGGCTTTTTGTCTAAAAACTGTGTAAATAGCTATAAAATGGTTTATTTTTTGTTATAGGACCGTATAGAATTACTGGCAAAAATTAGTCTCTATGCCAAACCTCCCCCCGCTAGAAGTACAGTACCGGCGTGGCTTGCAGCGTCACGCGACGCCCAGCTCAGAGCTCGAAAGCTAGTTCGTGCTCCTCATAGCCGAAAGTCGGACTCGAGCCTGTGAAGCCGTTCGCTGTGTATTTAGTGCAAACTAAAAAAAGCTAGGAAAAATCCGCTGACACGTCGACGGGCCGATGTTTCATCAAAAAACACGGGCACGAATTCCCTGGGGAGTTTTCGTGGCCGACTAAAAGTGATGAGAAGGATGATTGGTGTTGGGGGGTGAATCGGAACCCTCGATTCCACCCCCGGCACTTCATTAAAAACAAAAGAAGGTAGATGAAGCCGAGGGCTGGGGGATTGTGGATGGAATGTGTGGCCATCCAAAAGGGGCCTCCGTCCCTTGTTTCAATTTCCGCTCCAATCCGAACAACACCGCCAATTTCCATCGGACCCATCCGGGGGCCTTCCCCGAAGAGGCCGCATTTCTGATTCTGTTTGTTACGCTTCCCCGGGTTTCTCTTCAATTTTCCGGTTAATTTATGGATTTTTAAAGGGACAGGAATGGCAGGGTTTATGGATGGTAGTGGACTGTTAGCGGGGGGTGATCTTTAGCGCTTTATCACGTATGTTGATGGTGTTTTTAGTAGTTTGTGATAAATAAAAGTCATAAAAACGTTTTATAAAATTCTTATATTCGAAACATGAAAAGACCCCTCCCCCCCTTTTAAAAAATCAAAAAAAAAAAAAAAAATTTTTTAAAAAAAAAAAAAAAAAAAAAAAAAAAAAAAAAAAAAAAAAAAAATTTTCACCCCCACCACAAAAAACCACCGCAAAAAAAAAAAAACCTACCACCACAAAAAAAATTTTTTTTTAAAAAAATTTTTTGGGGGGAAAAACAAAAAAAAAAAAAAATTCATTATTTACGGCAAAAAAACAAGAAAAAAAAAATATTTTTTTTTTAACCCAAAAACCGAAAAGGCCCAAAAAAAAAAAAAAACAAAAAAAAAAAAAAAAAAAATATTTTTAAAAAAAAAAAAAAAAAAATAAAATTAAATTAATAAAATACCAACAAATTTTTTAAAATTTTAAAAAAAAATTTTAAAAAAGTCATTTGTGATGTTTTTAGACATTCACGACCCCCCGCTAATAGCTCAGTACCTGTTTCTTGATGGATATACCGCGACACGCGGCGCAGACGTCACATAGCGCATGGCGTATCGCGGTGCGGAAAAATTCATACCTCAATAAAAATCCATAGTACTGCCTTGCCAGTCCTTATAAGTTCTATAAAATCCATAATTATAATAGATAAATAAAATTCAACTACAATAATGCCTTGACAGTCCCTTTATATGCTTTAAAATCAAACATTTTCATGGCTTAATGAATTAGATCTCGACGATACCTGCGTTGCGTGTCGCGCGAGCCACAATGATACCTTTTCAGCCCCTTTAAAAAGCTCTATCACTTCCCAAAGAATCTCCGCTAGCCTTCTTCGTCCCGAAATTACAAAAAAAACAAGCGATACACTAGCCCTGAATTTCAATGTCTTTTCTGGTGTTCGAAGATTGAACGGCTGGGGGACCCGTCCTCGGCGGTCGGCCGTTTTCTCGTCGTGTTTTTTCCTTGGTGTGGCCAAGATTCCCGGAGGAGGGCCCCGGTGGGACCCAAGCTTTAGGGCCCAGAGTTCATTCATTTCATCCGTCTTTTAGCGGCGCCCATCCTTCCGCATCTCCGCGTCTTGAAAATTTTGGAAGCTTTTGCAGGGAGAAACTTGATTTTTTGGTTTTCAACGGGAATATTGGCCTCCACAGTCAAGGCAAGCTAGCAGAGATTTTTTGGAAATTTGCTAGCATCAAAAAGCGCAATTAAATACCGTATACCTTTTTATTACAGTTTCGAGATGTTTTTTTCACCCTAAACCTTCTTTATTTTCCCCCAAAATACTCACAGTTTCGCATTGAAGATGGAACAAAAACCAACGGTCAACATCCAAAAATAGCCATTTCAAAGGTATAGATTTTTTGCACCGCCGAATTTTGAATTCAAGGATTTTTGAGCGCATTTTGCCCACTTTTTCTGCGATAGCATCCGCTTTTGCGTTCCTGCAAGGCCTGTGGCGTTGTCTTCTGGTTCCGGGATTGGCCTTTTGACGGCCAGCAGTTCGTTATGGGCCGTTAGTGGGGGAGTTGGAGCTCAAGGAGAAGACTCTAAGCTGGAGGGAGATTTTATGTAGGGAAGAAATGGCCAAAACGCGGAAATTACGATTTTATTTAGGTTTAATAGTTCAGAATGGAGCTTAAGCAAAATACCTCATGTTTATAACCATTAACAATAGGAAGGCCATATTAGTCTATGTAAACTTTGTAAAATAGCAAAAATGAGGTAAAATTGTGCAATAATCCATAGTAATTAGTACCTTTAGGTAACTGGATATACTTTATAGCGAAAAACAAACGCCAAATTACGCAATATTCCGTAGTAATTATTAATTTAACGTAGCTGCACGTAGTTTATAGCCAAAACGAGCTTTTTTCACCGAAAGATTATTATTTATCGATTTAATACAAGCTAATCTCTTCATCTTTTATTTTTATAGTACGCCTTTTATTTAAGCTTTTTGGCCCTCCGAAAAGTGCATCAAATCCTTTTCAGGCGGCAGCGGCTTATTGCCGTTCTTTGTTCCCCTCAAAAAGCCAGCCATCTTCTTAATAATCTTCCGGATTTGTTTGCCGGTCTGTCTTCCCAAATTTCTAACCATTTTTAAAAATTAAATAATTTTTCCTTATTTTTGTGTACCTCTTCTCCTCCGGCCAGTCAATTCCTCCGAGTATTCCCCCGGCCCAAAAGATTCCGAGACCTCAAAAAAAACAACAGGGGAATCCCCCCGCCTCGCGCTTCGATGGTTTTAATTTTGGTCACCCGCCTTGTGGTGTGTTAATTTCCGCTTTGAGATGGGAGAGAGAGAGAGAGGAGAGAGAGAGAGAGAGAGAGTGAGAGTGAGACAATCACACCCCTCCTCTGCAGCACAGACCCCCAAAAAAGTTGGCCATCCGTTTTTAGAGGGGCCAAGGGAGGGCCCAAGAAATCAGAAGAACTGCCGGAAAATTGTGCGCCACAAAGTTTGTGGTTATAACTTTCTACAGTTTTTTTTTGCGTCAAGTCGACCAAAATTTCAAATTTTTTAAACTATTCACGCCTCAAATATAATTGCAATTTTTCGACCAAAATGCTCGATTTTCTAAAAAAACAAAGGCGGACAAAATTAAGACACTCGGTTCTGTAGCAAATCGGGGGAGCGGAATTTTCTGCACAACTTAATCCTAGAAAATCCTAGTAACTTAAAACTAAATGTTTTAACAGAGCTCTTAGTAAAAATTCTACTGTTGTTTAGGCGCAAAACTATCTAAAAATTAGAAATTTTAGAATGTTTTTCTAAAAGCAGCCATTTGTTGTCGAAAAATCGATGTTTTTTGTGTGATGTAAAAAATTGTTAAAAATAGCAAGTAAGTTACTTTAAGAATAACAAAAAAAAACGGTTTGCAAACCTTTGCTGTTATGAAAAATGGTCCGCCGATAATGCCAAAGCTCCGAAGGTTCGCGTAAAAAATAAAAATAAAAAATATATATATAGCATAAAAATGTATAGCTAAATTACTTTTTTTGCACCGTTAAACACCACGAAAATACGGTTTTTTTACTTGTTACTAACGTTATTGGGCTCTTTCTCCTTGTTTTTCCGCTCATTTAGGATCCCGTTTCCACCCCGCGAATGAACACGAATCTCAAGAGCACATAAAAGCCAGATGTACGGATTGAATCGAGGGGGGAAATGCTCACCCAATTCTCCCTCTCAAATATCCGCACTTTAATTAACGCATTAGCCCGATTTGACACCTCACCCGGCGCTTCATCTTATTTTTCCTAAAAAAGCGAGAAAAATTGAGCTACTCGTTCGTCAAGGGCCTTTGGGAAAAGCTTTTTTGTTTCCGGAGTATCTCACTCTAAAACTTGGCTCTTGACGAGCGTCAAGATTAGCCCTCATAGAACTCCCGAAATTTCGAAAACCCGTCATTTTATTGTTTTTTTAGCAAGTATTTTTTTGTAAGATACCGTAGTAATCCTACCTATTTGGTACTGGACTCTTAGCGGGGGTGGGTGGGTTAGCAAATGCTACCAATTTTTTTTCCAGTAATCCCCTTCGGACCTGTAAGAAAACATAAATATTTTTATAGTTTTTTTACATACTTTTTAGATCTAAAAAGTTTATAAAAAGTTCTAAAAATGTTCCAAATTTTTTTTACGTAAAAGATGTATCACAACGATCAAAAAGTCAAAATTTTCGAATCTTCAGTGTTTAAACATTCGTTTATCATTTTCTAGCGATCGGAAAAAAAAATCATAATTTTTGACCGCTAACCTCCTCCCCCCGCTAACAGTCCAGTGCCGGAAAATATTGCGAAAATGACCCAAAAGGTGAAATTTTCAAGTTCTTTGAATGTTTTATAACTTTCTAGTAATCAAATCCTACTGAAAAGTCGATAAAAATACATGCTATTTTATTAAAAATTAGGCAGAAAATAAAAATTAGTTTCACGAAGTCCCCCCGTTAACAGTCCAGTACCGAAAAAATCCATAGCCATGCCTTTCCGGCCCCTTTAGTGGCCCGTCACCACCCAGGTATCTACGGACGCAACCCTTACCAATCAGTACACCCCCGGTGTCATTAGTCCATTCGCGGAAATGAGCCGGTTCTCGTCTACGAGGGCCAGTCTCCCCCTTCCCCTCTAAATTGGGGATCAATCTCGGATGGAGAGGATTAAGGGTACGTAGTTGGACTCTTTCCTCCCCTTTGCCTCTCCGCCTCTCATTTAGCTCACTCCGAGAAGCCCCAACCATCAAATGGTGAGATTGAAAGTGAAGGGAAGACTACGGCATCAGACTATTGACATTTAGGAGGAGTAGCTTCCCGGATCATAATTCGTGTTGGCGACTTGTAATGCCGAAATACCGACGATCGATTACGGAACGCCGATTTTCGAGCTAGTTTCGGTATTTATTCGTTAGCGGGGGGGTAATTTTTATTTTTCGGCCTACGCCTTCTTCTCCAAATGAGCCTAGACTGATACTGGACTGTTAGCGGGGGGAATCCAATATTTTCCAGTGCTCCCCTAGGGTCCTATAACGAAATCTAAACCATTTTTATAGCATTTTAGACAGTTTTAAGACATAAAAAGCACACAAAAATACATTATAAAATGAAATTTTCGCCAGTTTTTCACCTTGTGGGCAAAAATTTGTGAAAAATGACCAAAAATGATAAAATTTGAAATTTTCGAAATTAAAAAATCTTCTAATTTTTCTAGCAAACAAAACTATGAAAAATACCATAAAATACGTTGTGTATTATTAATATGGAGGTATAGCCAAAAAAATGAAAATTACCCCCCCTGCTAAGAGCCCAGTACCAAAAACGCAGGAAAATCTGAGAAGAATCGACATACTCTGGGAGCCGCAGATTCGGAAAAATTTCGTCAATTCTTAACTTGCCAACACCTTTAAATGCACCCGATCCGAAAAGCATCATCCATCTCTCTCTCTCTCTCTCTCTCTCTCCAGCTTCTGCTTCTGCTGGGGGCACGCGGGTTTTTAAATTCCAATGAATTTGTGAGTCAGGAGGGGAGCCAAGCAGGTATCTTCTCAATATCCACCCCCAAACCCTCATTTCGAATTCACCCTCAAAACCCAGACATTCCACAGCTTGCAGTTTACGCGTATTCTCCCTGGGATCACCTCCAAAGCTGGTACTGGTGTGTTAGCGGGGGGGGGAAGAGCTAGCCAATATCTACCTAGCACAATTTGTAGCGTTTCATAGTGTTCTTGGTCTATTTTGGTGGTTAAAAATGAAAGAAACGTTTTAAAGTACTTAAAAAAAATCAAAATCTTGACAATTTTCATCATTTTTATAATTTGAACAATTTTTTATGAACTTTTTGTACTTAGAAACGGCTTAAACAATATATAAACTGTATGTATTTTGTTATGAGACGCTATGAGGCCATGGTCAAGAATGGGGTTTCGCGGCTCCAACCCCCCCGTTAACAGATCAACGTCCCCAAAGTTTTCAAATCAAGAATCAGAGTCAAGAAAACTAATTCTCCTTGTTTACTACCCTCTACTGATTTTTTTTCATCTTTTTCGCAGGCTTTGATAGGGATTCAGAAGCCGTGCTGGCATTTTGGGGCGATAATCGCTCGATATCTGGGTAGTCTAGCGGTGAATTTTTCGATTTATTGCTTGTTTTGTAGATTTAAGGGATCCCAATGTTTGGGCAAAAATATATTATGTTTCCGGGAGACAAATGACGCACGAATTTGCAGGATGCCCGTGCCACGGCCTCCTCACCCTCTTTGGCGTCCCCCCAATGGCTTGCCACTATGGCCTAATGGAAGCCAGGTAGCGGGCCGGTTCGACCCCCCGCGTCATGGTTTTTGCTTTGAGCCGAAGGTTGGGTATCTAACAACGGGATAAAAAATAGGGTCTAGAATTTCCTCAACTAAAATAAAAAACCCTAATCAAACCGCTCGAATCTTTTCAACCGGTACAAAACCGGTATTTCGAGAGTTCTCTCGATTCTAATTTTGGAGCAATTTGGGCATGCGGCTGCCCTCTTAAACAACAAGCCGACGAAAATAAAATATTTCTTACCCCCGAGGCTTCTCTTTGAACGTCTATTTGTCTACTCACACCCAGAGTAAGCGGCTCTACTCTTCCCCAAAATCTATATCACACCCCGATGTCCCTCAAACACGATATTTATATGTGCGGGATAAACATGGTGCCGTGAAAAAGAAGAAGACGCCTTCGAAATCCGGCGGTACCCGGGATTATCTGGCTTCACCGGATCAGCCCCCCCCCCCTCGGAGGACACCACTGCCCACATCTACTCCTCACTCATCTTCTTCTCCATAATATTCCCGATTTTTGGATCGATGACGGAAAAAGATGGCGGGGGTATTGACGTTCGTGACCGGATCTGCGCACCAAAATACGACTGCCCGACGCGCACGGCTGCGACAGTCGCTTATTTTCAGAGACCTAAAGCCTCGCTTTTACGAGTCAAACCATCACTTTTTATACTTAAGAAATCCTGCCTTAAAACTGCCCTTGAAAGTTGAAACTTTACTGATCTTTATTAAAAAAAAAACAAAAATATCGATTTTTCGACCAAATTTCAAAATCCTTGAATTTTTAAAAAATCGTTTTCTTTTTTAAATACAGTTAACTTTTACTATACACTATTAAATCTTTACTATTACGTTGCCAGGCATTCCTGGATTTTGAGAAGCATTTATAGGGTGGAAACTCGGCTTTCCCCCCGATAATGCAAAAGATCCGAAAATAGGTATAACCGAACCGTTAATCCAGCTGCGACTGTTCTCTCAAAAATTTCTACACGGAATATCAGCGAAAAAAAAAACGATTTTTGACTTTTTGAGAGCGACAGAATTGGTTTTTTGCCCTCTACGATTGATTCAACCATTTTCTGTGATTTTATGCTTTTATACAGTACCAAAATTACGGTAAAACGCTAATTTCAGATGGATACAGAATGGGGTGCAGTTGATGTGCCCTACGATGAATACTATGAAGCCGACAATCTGACCAGTGATGACATCGCTGCATGGCTAAATGGACTCGACAGCGGGGATAGTCAACCGGATGTCGCCGGTATGTTTTTGTGCTTAGTTAATTTAAAAAATAAATTTTTGCATTTATTATCCTTTTTCTGGTTTAAATATTAACAATATATTTTATCAAAATTTACCCTTACCATTGGCAATTTTCACGAAATCCAGGGCCCACTGGTGAGCGGCAAGTCGCGGGTATGTTTTCCTTCGTTTTCTCGGGTTTTAGAAAGAAATCCGCACGCATTCCTGGGTTTGCTTAAAAGGGATGATTGTATTTATTTTGGTGGACTCCATTTTCAGGCTGGTCTGCCCTGGTGAACACGGCGTTCGGCTTCGGCGTCTCGTACGTTTCCTTAGGGCTGGTGGCCATCGTTCTCAACGGAACTTTTCTCTACGCATTAATATCACGTAAGCTTTTGAAACTTGTTTTTTAATTCTTAAACAAAAAAAAACGTTACACAATTTTTTAAACGTTTGAAAAATCTCGATTTTTCGACGAAAATCCCAAAATTATGTTTTTTTTCCGCGTTTTTACATGGCTTGTCTGCTTGAAATTTTTGAAAATTTAACTGAAAAGATTGTTAGACGTTACCATGCATTCCTTGACGTAGGGGAAATCCCCCGATAATGCCAAAGAACCGTTTAAAATTTCCAGGACGACGCCACGTCTTCTCACACGTCTTCTACGTGATGATCTTCAACTTTGTGCTCATCGATTGTCTCAAAGGTCGTTCTCAAATCAGAAAGCAATTTCACCTACCAATTTCCAGGAATTTGCTCAATCCTGTTCGCCCTCAAGCTCCTCAAATCGGATATGGACGCGATGGGGACGTTGTGGATTGTGAAAATCGATCAGATGAGCGCCTTTCTATTACGGTAGGCTGGACTATACTGTAAAAAGTGTTAAAAATGGATTATTATTCACAAATTCCAGATTCTCTAACTTGGCCACAATCCTGAATCTTACTATGATCACCATAAACGAGTATTTATTTATATGTTATCCACTCCAATACCCGAATTATGTTACCAGGTAAGAGAGGGCGAGAGAAAGAGAGAGAAGAGAGAGAGAGAGAGTAATATATTTAGAGCCCGTGTATTTGCTTGCCTGATTGCTGCCTGGATCATCTCGTTCGCTCTGACCATTTCTAATGCCGTAGTGACGGTTGCGCATCAGTCGATTTTCATCGATCTTGACTGCCAGGCCGGTCTCGCTGATGATCGTACGTTTATAAAATTTAACGTGAAGATCTGATCCATTTAATTTTATAAAAATGCTGACTAATAGCTATTTTCATAACCCCGATTTTTCGCTAAGATACGATTTTTCGATCAAATTATTAGAATTTTTAAATCTTTAGGTAGTTGTTCGACTTCATTATCGTTAAATTTTCATAAAAATGCTCTTAAAACACCTACTATTGCGTTATTAGTTTATTTCTGGACTCATAGGAAAAATTAGATCCTCCTATAATACGAAAGAACCCTATTCTCATCACCCGATTCGCAAACTTTTTCCTTAACTATAAGGTTTAATTTTTCAAAAAGAACTAGTGGAAGTGTTTCTATATGGTTTTTTACCATTCCTAAAAGCAAAAACTTTACAAAATTTTATTAAAAAATGCCAAAAATCGTTGTTCCGACCAAAATCGTCGATTTTCCGTCAAAATTTAGATATTTTTTAGCTAGTTTTCGATCGCAAATATAGTTATCTTTTACTAAAATAGCTATTAAAACACTTCCGAGGAAGTTACTAGACATTTCTAGGCTTATGCAAAAAGTTCCGTTTTTTTTTCTAGACAACAATCGGTGCTTTGAGAAATCGATTACTCTGTAAATCTGTAAATCGGCAGTATCTACGTAATTCGTCCGTTTAGTCCACCAATCCACCAATGAAACAGACGTATTTCCGTGCCTTATGAAAGTCGAACCGTCACGATCTGCGCAATATGTCTATCATTTTGGTGAGATGGTCATCGATTTGTCTTCTAACTCTACTTGCAGGCGTAATCCTGTTCTGTGGGCTTTGTCTCGCCATCACCGCCACTTCCTATATTGTTTTGTTGAAGGTTATCGCGAAGCTTGTCAAGACAGACTTGAGGGTAACCATTTCCCAGATCCGCCCCTAAAGCTTTTTAGAGCAGCGCCGAAATCGCACACCTAAAGGACGCGATGGCAAATGGTAAGTAACTAAAAGGGTACTGGGCTGTTATCAGGGGGAGGTAACTCATTTTTATCATTAATCTCTACGGCCCTATAACAAAATATAAACCATTTTTATAGCACCTTACAGTTTTTAGAAATAAACTCGTAAAATTTTGACCTTTTACTGAAAAATCTATGAAAAATCACCATAAAGGTCAAAACTTAGAATTTTTGCAAATGTTTTTGTAACTTTCTAGCAATCAAAAACTAGGAAAAACATTGTAAAAAAACCCTATTTATTATTACTAGGTTGGTATAGACGGAAAAACAAATGTTAGTCCCCCCCCCTGCAAACAGACCAGTACCGCAAAAAAGGTTGAAACCTTGAAAACCTCCTAGAAAATCTGCAAATACTACACAAAAAATGTTGCCATTTTGAATTTCGATACTATGAAAATAGTCCATTAAAAAGATGACTTTTAGGGGAAGAACGAGCGCCTGTCGAGGAAAAGAACGTCGTACGCAGGCACAAATACGTGGCTGTCATCGGGACGGTGATTGTTGTCTACGCTGTTTATCTCACCGCCTATGCAACCATACAAATATTACAGCTATTAAATATGTCCAGGTAAGCATCATCTAAATACTCTGCTTATATATGAATCCTCAGATCTAATTGAGGCCAGCATATTTTAAAGTTTGCACAGTTGAAAAAAGTAGTAACAGAAACTATAGCGCTTTTATCAGTTACAGCAGCCGTTTACGATCGTAAAAAAACTATCTTTACTTGCCTTGATAGGTATCACAGAAATAATACCTAATGAACGACAGTTTACCACTCACATTTTCAGCGGCGCCTCGCACGCTAGTCGCTACATCTTTGTCTACATCAAATACGTCTGCTACACCTTCATCTCCCTCCATTCCATCCTGCAACCAGTTTGTTACCTTCGAATGCGGGAATTTCGAGCCCTAATCGTCAGGTATCGTATAAATGCGGAAATTAAGCACAAAGATTAGCTTTACAAACAATCCTTTCAGGGCGGTCTGCGGCAGCCGTAGACGACCGAGTGACCTCCTCGGAAACGAGCCCGTATTCAGTGGCGAAAACAGGAGGACCGTCGTTCGGGAAAATAAACCAGAAAATGGAGCCCGAAGAAGTACCGCCCGCGAATATGTCTGAATCATATCTCACGACACTTCCATTTCCACACCCAAATTCAATATCTCGCTCAATGCCATTATCCCGATACTTTTTTCGTTCTCTCATCATCCGATTCAGCGTCTTTTTTTAATAAGCCGTGATAACTCCCGCTTTCACCATATCTCTCAATCGATATTGGGTCTCCAATTCCTGTGATACTAATGCGCCGATAAATCCTTTGCAAACTACTCGATATAGGTTTTTGGATGCATGCAACTTTACACGGCCATCAAACTGGCCAAAAATGGCAATTGCCGGGGGGGCAAGAGCGTCCAAATGAGCCGAGCATAGCGCGCACCAAAAAGTTTAAGCTCTTAGAGGTTTTTCAAGTCGACTTAACATTGAAAACCCAATATCAATTATTGGAGAGTAGAATTTTACGGTTCGAATGATACCAGAAACAGCACATTAGCCCTCCGAAATACCCCTTTTCCGAGAGTCGCCAACCAAAACCGCCTTCGTTTTGATACTTTCTGAACTCAGTTTTCTTAGTGTTTGGTATCATTAGAATCGCCGTGACCTCTTCTACAAGGCTGGAATTCGCTTTTTTAAGATCGGCCACATCTTTCAAGATACACTCTGTCAAATAACTATAGAATCAAGCGTTTTTTTTTGCGCGTAACTTTCTTTCTATTGATCGGTTCGACTCGAAAATATTAGTGTAGCCCTTCTTTGATAGCAGAAAACTGTGTGCAAAGTTTGGAGGAGAACCGATTTGTGGAAGGTACGAATCCGGAAAGCTTCGTTCTGAACTTTGTCAAAAAACTATAGAATCACTTTTAAATCAATGATTTTTCTACCCATTTATCTTTTCCGACCATTTTTTTTCCAACGCGCATACATTTCTTTACACATGAAATATACTTTTGAATGAATAGTTTGGGCGTCCAAGCTCAGAACAGGATTTTCCAAAAACTGAATTTAACAAAGAAATCCACATTTTTCTAAAATTCTGCCATATCAAAATTGTATTTCCTAAATGTTGATTGTACCTCGGAATGCGCATTTGACAGCGAGTACATAGGTGCGTTTCGTTTTCCGGGAAACAGCCTGACGGCAAAGATATGCTCTGTCGAACCGTCGACGCCACGTGTCCTTTGTTAAATGGTCAGGAAAATACCTTGAGAGCCGCGGCCAAACACTAAAGTGACCGTAGAGGACGAACGTTCGTAAATAGAGGGTAGGTTCCAATAAACAAATGTGTACCTTGGCGTGCTCTTTCAGCAGGCAAAGTGACATATTTTTCCATCGTTGTTTATTGTCAGAATTTTAGAAAAATGTGGATTTCTTTGTTAAATTCAGTTTTTGGAAAAACCTGTTCTGAGCTTGGACGCCCAAACTATTCAATCAAAAGTATAGTTCACGTGTAAAGAAATGTATGCGCGTTGGAAAAAAATGGTCGGAAAAGATAAACGGGTAGAAAAATCAGTGATTTAAAAGTGATTCTATAGTTTTTTGACAAAGTTCAGAACGAAGCTTTCCGGATTCGTACCTTCCACAAATCGGTTCTCCTCCAAACTTTGCACACAGTTTTCTGCTATCAAAGAAGGGCTACACTAATATTTTCCAGTCGAACCGATCAATAGAAAGAAAGTTACGCGCAAAAAACGCTTGATTCTATAGTTATTTGACAGAGTGTAGAATCTTCCAAAGTTTTTGCCCCAAAACATTTTTGGGTCGATAGGAGCGCCGCGTCGCCTAGCACAGACCGCCAAGATTTCAGGGGTGGCACATGCAACTTTAGTTTTAGGATGCATGCAGACAGGAACAACGACTTCCTGGCACATTTCAAAAGTCTGGCAGTCCCGGCTGAACGACCGGTAGAATGGCAGGACGTCACAGCTACTTCTTTCCTGATCGGGTATTTAAAGGTACTGTCTTGATCTGTGTAATTCTTTATTGCTTTAGGGGGAGGAAAAGGAACGCCACATGTATGATGTGATGGTCACAACGTTGGATAGCTTTAAAAATTTGGACGAGCTGGGACGAGCGCAATGTCTGCATCCGTTCTTTTCGGCGGTCGATTATGTAACTGATCAGCGTTGTTTCTCACTCCTGAAGGGGATATTGGTATAAGCATCCAGTTCAACGCTTGAAACTAGCACATTTAGTGGGTTCCGTGGCTTCACATCCCAGCATCGCTCCACGACAAGTATACGACATTCCTCGTGGAAGTCGCACTTCGACGAATGAATTTGATGGAACTTGTCGTTCAAGCCTGTGTCCGCAATTTTCGGCCATATGGTAATCTGCCCATGACTTTTGAAACACGTGTTTCAGACCCGGAAGACCCAGTGTCCGACTTGAATCGTCAGTACTTGTTGGCGCACTCAACACTTGTCTCTCTCAATAGATGTACTCATACGTAAGGCAATGTTTTACAATCTACCTATTCCTTAGGGCCGAAATGGTAATTCTGAAGTCTCTACAGAGGCGACCTCATCATTCGCTGGACTGTCCGGTAATTATCTAGAATAATGATCATATTTCACGGCGCTATTCAGGTCATCCTCAGCCATTTGAGGAATCAGATCACCGTTGGCGAATATCTTTTTGCGATCCGTGGGGCTGTTTGGGCTACGATCACGGACCAGTTGATCGAAATGGATGTGAGTGATTCTTACTTTCAAATCTATTTATTTAGGCTCTCGTCACCAAGTGTTATATTGATCCGGAATATGGCGCCATTGATGCCAGAAACTTTTTCATTTACGTAAGGAGTTTGGATATTATTTTACGATGATAAGTTAGTCTGACGAACTCGTGATGGATACGACTTTGCCAGAAAAAGTACTGGACCTGGTGACGAAGTTAGATGCCTGTATGGTCACGGTCTTTGAATATATTGCGGTCGCGATGAACAAAGATTTGCCCAACAGTAAGCTTTGGGTCTATAATTACAAATTTTTCCTAGATCCTACATGGTTGCACCTTGGTCCCGAAATGGAAGTCCTCGATCTGCTTGCTGATTCTTTTAGTTTGTGTTTGCTGAAAAGCCGTAATACCCACATGGTTGCTTTCATTTGGCTTTACGTCTGCGTGCTTTCTGAGGTAGCTCTTGTTTCACTAGCCTGTCTCGATAATTCACATAGCCGTTTAGCCGCGGACCATTGATTTGTGGTTGAACAACCTGTGGCAATTTACGGTGGATACATCACGAACTTCCGCGGATCAAGGAAGGTGTCAATCATGTGTTGGATACTTGGGCGCGATCGCCGCACGGGCGACCTTTATGAGCACAGGGTACGTATAGCTCTGTTCCTCTATCTTCTTTTTTTAGCATGGCTTTGGAATGGTTGGGAAAGTTGAAGGATTGGTTAATGGAATATGTGGAAGCCCAGGTAAGCACCGGATTTCCAACAGCTTATATGCGTTTTTTAGGCGAAGCTGTCCTCACCGGTCCTGGTCAACCACGGTCACTATTACGCGATTACCGAGGCATTCATGCTGATCTTTTGCTACCATTATGTAGATCTCATGCAGGATGCGGAATGTGAGCTTTTCGATAAATTCGGTGTTATGGGTAGAACCACAAACTGATTTATGTATTCGGCTAAGTCGTTCCTTCAGATTGGGAAACAATCAATGGTTGGAAAATCCGATTATTTATCTATTGCCCGCTGGAGCCGTTGAAATTTATCACGCGCCCCGTCGCGGAAACGTTTCACATTATCGCAAGGTAAGCGCCAGTGGATAGACGGTAATGTATTTTCTTAGAAACCTCAACATCATCTATAACCCTGACGGCTATGAATTTGATGCTACGGCTGGTACGATGCTGACATACACCTCGTTCTTTCCTCTAGGCCGCTTCCATTTACCTCGGTAAGAATTTATGGATATTCATTTACTACTATTTTACAGGTCTTTCGAGTTCTTCAAAAATTATTTACGGGTGTTCTCACCACGTGGTGACGAGCGTACTATGTTCGATTCAACTTATAAGAAGCCCAAAACCGAGCCACAGGTCTGAACTGGCTTAGAGTTTCGTGACTTTATTTTTTTTTCAGGACGAAGTTACGCAAGACGAATGTACGGTTGAGGAGGAGCCGGACTCAGAAGTTATCGAGGCTCCGCTTGACTACGAATGGACGACCCTGGAGGAAGTAGACGCACGGGCGCGAACCTCGAGTGAAACTCCAAGCTCAGAACGCATAGAAAGTGTCTTCAGTGATTGATGCCGATGTTTGTAGATGGAGTAGAGACGGGAGAGAAGGCGAACGATTTTACCCTGTTTTGTTGATTGGCTATTTCGTTATGTTGTCACATTGTTACGTTAAATAAATTGTTAGTGTTTCAGCGCTTCTTAGCTTAATTTCAAAGTGGCGCGGCAAATTTTCGATTGATGCTAATCGTGACAAGAATTGATGGGCTATACTTACGACTGTTTTTAATTTTTTTTATATTTTAATAAGTCCGCTTTCACCATACCTCTCAGTCGATATTGGGTCTCTAACTCCTGTCATACTGATGCCCCGGTAAATCCTTTGCAAACTACTCGATATCGGCTACAATAAACCCATAAATATTACAATTATTATTTTTTTTGTGAAAAGGGTTTATCAAAATGGAGTATTCCGAACACTCCGGTCGAACGAAATTCGTCGTTCCGTTTCGGCGCGTATACCATATTAAACAACACCTAAATAACCGTACCCCGATTTGTTCGCTCCAGGACCCGGCTTCGGTCGATGTAGGGCGTTTTCTATTAATTGCGGTTTTTCCACACCACGTTGGTGCGATTTTGTATCGATTTATGTTGCGTCTTGGCTTCGATCTTCTAAAAGTTTTTTCTAAAACCTCTAACTACAGCCTCTGCGTGATTACCGAACATTCTTTCACAGCAAACAATCTTTCGTTTCTACATAAGAGTGCCCTTCCTTTTTCGATATATTTGGAACTTTTCAGGATGAACTCCTTTGGATTCACCAGCATGCACCCAACTACCGGCTTCAACCAGCCTGGGCTCGCGGCCGCTCCGCCTCCGACGCAGCCTTCGGGCTTTGCCGCCGCAACCAATGGCACGACTTCTGGTTTCCCACCAGCTCTCGCACAACCGACGGGCTTTTCGGCCGGTTTCAACTCTGCACCTGATGGCAAGCCAACTGGATTTGCAGCTCCTAACAACAACAACAATCAGACAGGCTCTTATCCGGTCTCTACCTCGACGATTGCCACAGAGGCTCCAAAGCTGGCCTTCGCCTCAGGAGGCTTTTCGGCGGTCAACAACAATCAGCCGAGCTTCGGATTCGCCGCTCCACCTTCGGCAGCCCCCGTGGAAGCCCCGAAGCCTAGCTTCAGCTCCGGTGGTTTTGCGGCTCCAAACAACAGCCAGCCAAGTCTTGGGTTTACGGCTCCGCCAACCACCGCCGCCTCTGTGGATGCCCCGAAGCCGGTCTTTAGTTCTGGAGGCTTTGCGGCTATGAACACCGGTCAGCCGAGCCTTGGGTTTGCAGCTCCGTCACCCGCCGCTCCCATGGAAGCCCCGAAGTCGGCCTTCAGCGCTGGAGGTTTCGCGACTACGAACACCAATCAGCCAAGCTTTGGATTTGCTGCGAACCAGAATGTCGGACAGGCTGCCGGCCTAGGCGCGGTAAGGAATTCTCGCTTTCTTTTCAATGTATTTGCAATACAACATTTTTATTTTAGATCCCTGGCGGCGGCATTGCATCCGGTGGCGCTGGCGGGCTTGGCGCAGTTCCCGTTACTTCCCAGGTAGCGCATTGTTTCATTGCTATCATTGTTCATATAGGTTTCTGGCTTCAACACGGCCACTGATAGCAAGCCTTCCGGTTTCTCGGCTGCAGCGCCTACTATGCAATCAACGGGCTTCACTGCCTCGCCTGACGTCAAGCCATCTGGTTTCGCGGCCCCACCTACGTCAACTGTCTTGGACGCAGCGAAGTCTGGCTTCAGCTCTGGAGGTTTTTCGGCTCCCAACAACATCCCGCCAAGCTCTGGCATGTCGGCCCCGCCATCCGCTGCGCCCTCCGAGGCACCGAAGTCTGGCTTCAGCTCTGGAGGCTTTGCTGCTCCCAACAACAACCCGCCGACCTCTGGCTTTGCCGCAACTTCGATCAATGGTCAGCCCGCCGGTTTCGCAGCGACTGCACAGCCTTCTGGCTTCAGCACGGCTCCAAGCGTCACCTTGCCCGTCGAGGCCCCGAAGTCTGCCTTCAGCTCCGTTGGATTTGGAGCTCCGAGCAGCATTCAGCCGACCTCTGGTTTTGCGGCCCCACCACCCGCCGCGCCCTCGGAAGCTCCGAAGTCCGCCTTCAGCTCTGTTGGATTTGGCGCTCCAAGCAACAATCAGCCGAGTTCCGGCTTTTCGGCCCTACCAGCTGCAACGCCCTCGGAAGCCCCGAAGTCTGGCTTCGGTGCTGGTGGCTTTGCGACTGTCAGCAACAACCAGCCGAGCTCTGGCTTTTCATCCGCGCCCGTCGAAGCTCCAAAGTCTGGATTCAGTTCTGTTGGATTTGGCGCCGCAAGCAACAATCAGCCAAGTTCCGGTTTTTCGGCTCCACCATCCGCTGCACCCTCGGAGGCCCCGAAGTCTGGCTTCGGTGCTGGTGGCTTTGCGGCTGCAAGCAACAACCAGCCGAGCTCTGGCTTTTCGTCCCGACCATCCGCAGCGCCCTCGGAAGCTCCAAAATCTGGCTTCGGAGCTGGTGGCTTTGCGGCTCCCGCCACGAATCAATCGAATTCTGGTTTTTCGGCGACTCCGAGCAGTGGTCAATCGTCTGGCTTTGGCGCTGGAGGCTTCGGCGCGTCTGCTTCGAAGACCTCGGCGTTCGGTGCCAGCGCATTTGGAAAAGCTGAAGCCCCTAAAGAGGTTAATTTGTTGAGGTCAGGTTAATCTCTTTTTAGAATACGAGCGGAGGCTTCGCATCCGGTGGCTCTGCCTTTGGTGCTGGCGGCTTCGGTGCTGCTAGTGGCCAGGTAATATTGCGTTGTTAAAATTTAATGCACCCATTCATAGACCTCTTCCTTCGGAGCCGGCGGGTTCGGGCAGAGTGGCGGCTTTGGTGGCGACTCGAAGCCTGGAGCGGAGCGTCCTCGAGGTTGCTTCAACTGCGGCCAAGACGGACATCGAAGCGCCGATTGTACCGAGCCGAAGAAGCCACGCGGTTGCTTCAATTGCGGCGAGGAAGGTCATCGTGGAAGTGACTGCCCGCATCCGCGCAAACCTCGTGAGGGTGGCGGCTCCAACGTTTGCTTCAATTGTCAGCAAGAGGGCCATCGCAGTGCCGATTGCACTGAGCCTAAGAAAGTTCGTGAGGGCGGCAACGGTACTTTGTTTATCTTACTCCTAGTTATTCCTAGGCTGCTTCAATTGCGGCCAGGATGGTCATCGCAGTGCTGATTGCACAGAACCGCGTAAGCCCCGTGATGGTACGTTTGATATTAGCAGGTTAAAAGGATTTTTTTAGATGGTGCCCCTGGGCCCGTCACTTACGTACCCGAACATTTGGCTGCGGAAGAGCTTTTTAAGCTACAAATGGATACCGGCTCGCGTTTTTCCGAGCTTTTCAACTCTGATGTGACCTGTACTTCCATGGGATGCGCCATCAATCTGCAGCCCTATACGTATGTATATTTCTCCTTGATTGAGATTTTGTATTAGCTCCTTCAACGACCTGCACCTCACCTCAACTGTCCAAGCCAACCTGGAAAAAGCTGGCTACGCGAAACCAACTCCCGTTCAGCAATATGCTATGCCGATCATCGACCAGGGCCTCGACCTGATGGCCTGTGCTCAGACTGGATCTGGTAAATTGAGTTTGTCTAGGTAAACTTTTCTTAGGTAAAACGGCCGCTTTCTTGCTCCCTATCATCAACAAACTTCTGAAGGATAATGACCTCGCCGGATCAGGACCGTGTGCCGCTCCCCGTTGCATTATTATCGCCCCCACCCGCGAACTTGCCGTGCAGATATACAACGAAGGGCGAAAGTTCACTCTGGGGACCGTGCTCAAGGTGGAATGCATCTACGGCGGAACGCAAGTCGGCTTTGCAAGGAGCCGCATGGAAATGGTATTCAGGATGGGCTTTATTTGATATTTGTTTTAGGGTCCGAGTATTGTGGTCGGCACGATGGGTCGCATGATGCATTTTATTGAATCGAACATCATCTCACTCGCTGAAGTGCGCTGGGTTGTTATCGACGAGGCTGATCGGATGCTTGATACCGGAAGCTTCCAGGAAGACGTCAGGCGGTACGGTTGTTTATCAGCTTATGCAATTTCCTTTTAGGATGCTTGGCAGCGGACCCCCGAAAGAGAAACGTCGCACGTTGATGTTTTCGGCTACATTCCCGGAGGAAGTGCAGAACGTCGCCAAAGAAAATCTTCGACCGGAATTCGCGCTGCTCGCCGTCGACCAAATTGGTTCGGCCAACAAGTGTATCACCCAGGTTTGAATGGCCTTTCTGACATTCCAATTCTTTAGGCGTTCATCGAAGTTCCGGACCGTACACAGAAGCGAGAGAAGCTATTGGAGTTGCTCCAGTTCGACCTCGGCAAATACAAGATCAATGGTATAGTGACGCCTCTGACTTTTCATTTCTTTAGGCGAGAGCGACATCTTCAAACAAAAGACGTTGGTGTTCGTTAACCGCAAGACGCTCGCTGACCAACTGGGCATCTTCTTCTCCGAACATGGCTTGGCTTCGACTACGATGCATGGTGACCGCGACCAGAAGCAGCGCAATGAGGCTCTTTCCGATTTCCGCATGGGCCGGTGCGACATTGCTTTCTGTCATAATTCTCTTTTAGCAAGCCAGTCCTGATCGCCACTGCCGTCGCTGAACGCGGTCTCGACATCCAGGGTGTGGATCACGTGATCAACTACGACCTACCAGACAGCAAGGAAGACTACGTGCACCGTATTGGTCGCACTGGACGTGTCGGCAACCCGGGACGTGCTACTTCCTTCTTCGACCAGTCGGACAGCAACGACTTGGCCCTGGCCCCTCATCTGGTTACCGTGCTTGCCCAAGCTGAGCAAGTTGTACCGGAATGGCTGAAGGTCGCTGGAGGTGCCGGCATGCCTGGAAGTGGATTTGGGGTGAGTGTCTTATTAAATTCTCCATTAATATTCACTTTAGTCGAGCGTGCCCACAGCCGCGGATGATGAAGAATGGTGAATGCCTGCGATAATAGAAAAATTTTGCATTATTGTTTTTGGTTAATAAATGTCTTGGCATGAGTCCCTGTTGGCAACTGGCGCTGTTGTTTTTGAAAAGAAGTACAATTTACATCCCACCAATAGCATTCTATATGCACATATTGCATATTGATCGGGCGGCCATCTTTTGGGTTTGTTTTTGATTCGCTACTGACCGACAAGCTACGATGGCTGACCCCGACCCACCGTAGGGATACTTCTGCAGAAATGGGCTTCAATGCAGGGACCGTGTACGGCGGGCCGCGGCGGTGAAGGCAGCTAGCCTGAATAAACAGATCGCTCGGAAGGAACGCCAAAAGTATACGTGGCAAAGTGGGCAATCGGTTTGCAGATCTTGAGGCCAAGCCTTGAAGTTAAGATATTGCAATATTGTAGAGCGGCGTGTGCACAACGTGTCCAAGGAGACCAGCATCTGCTCGAACCAGTCGAAGGCCTCGGCCGCTACCAGCGATACTGGCAGCGTTGATGTGGTACCCGTGGACGGAAATGCCTCACTTGATCTGGTAATTTACACAAAAGTCTTGACTAGGAATTCCGAAGCGAATTCTAATTAAGCTTTTTGGGTTGATGGGACGGCGATGGAGGTGGCGGGCGAAGAAGAGCAGCACCCAGTCGACAGCGACGCTACGTGGTCCAGCGATGTCAGTGCCAGACGCGCTTTTTGATTAGAAACGTTACGTTTCAGGAGGAGATCCGGCCGAATGTGATCAACATCGTCGCCCAGGCTCCAGCCGTGCCAGGCCCTCCTTCCCTGCCAAGGTTACAACTCAAAAACTAGATCGCTAACCATGTTGGGGTGGCTTTATCTATAATTTTTGCAGAAAGATACAACGAGGGCGCAACATGATCATGAAGGTCGGCGATCACCGTATCTACTGGCAAACGGGCGAGTACGTCAACGACGATAAAGAATGAGGATCAAGCGTCTGCCCCTCGCGTCATCAACTCTAATATTCTTAACAGCTCGCATATTCATGAATGGTTCCGCTTTGCAATTGGATGTTAATAAACGATTTTGTCTCTTGTTAAAAGCCTCAGATGTCTCAGAGCAGTTTTTATATGTCAAACAAACTATTTTTGTGCCTGTTTACTCGTAATTAATGTGTTATCAAAAGTGTGTGTAACGTTTGACGTTTCCTAGCTGCTTTTCGTAACAATCGGTAAAAATTTATTCAACGCACTGCGGGGGTATGAATGATGGAAACTACTATGCCAACTGAACAAAAACTATTATGGGGGTGTAATATTTGGTAGGAAAACGCCAAAAAATAATTGTACAAAACAAGGGAAGGGCACACGGGCTTCGGCCCTGAATTCCGGGTAGCCATCCCGAAATCCGGGCTATCAGCGGCGGCCCCTCTATAAAAGAAAATGCATTGAGCGTTGGTTCGTTGTGTTAGGGCACTTTTACGGTGGGGAGTGGGACTCAAATCCGGTACATAGAAATGGGCATCTAGTGGTGGTAGTAGTAGTTTCTCTGCGGGGTATTTTATCACATAAATCGCATCGGAATGGGAGCAGTGGGGGAGGAGGGGAATGAGCACCTTTTTTTCGGGGAAAATACCTAGATTTTAAGGCCCAAATTTTTGTGTGTTTTTCACGTCGAAAATAGCTCAAAAAACTTCAAACTTCTGGCCTTAAAAACTATGGTGCTTTGCCGGGAGCGAAAAATAAACAGAAACTGGGCAGTGTTCTGGGGTTTTGTTTGTAAATTTTTGTTTTGTCGTAGTCACCGGAGTGGATGGCGCGTATAATGAGAGGGGCGGGCAGGGAAACATTGAATTTGAAACAATTGAAATTATAGGAAAAGGAAAGCCTGCCAGTGCCCGGGTAGCCATCCCAGACACTCGACAAAACATTCCCAACCCCCAAATTTTATATAACCTCGATTATAATAACCTTACGGTAGGTAGGCTTCAAGTTTTTTGAAATTCAAAATTTTTCTGGCAAAACTTGAAGCCTAACGACCGAAAAGCCCCGCCCCTCTAGTCAAACAGATAAAAATGATCTTTTTTTTAGTTTTTTTTGAGTACACGAGACGTCTAATGACGGCGTGCCCACTCGGGGGCATCCACCCTCTCATCATTGTCACGGGCGTAGCTGGTGTACTGCTCCAACGGGTCGGTCTGCGAGTGGCGCAGCTCTTCCGGCTTTCCCTTCCAGTCGACCGTCTTTGTCCATGTCCTAGAACAAAATAATCTAGCTCGTAGATTAAATATAGAATATTTGCTGCCTGGCATGTCCCCTCGTTAATGAAAAAGCTCCAAAAAAGTTGTCGCTTTTTTCTTAGGATCACATTTTTCTGGTATAAATCGAAAAAATGTTTTTAAACTGTTTTTTTACTATTCAGGCACGCAAAAACTGCACATTTATTCAAAAAAGATTTTTCAACCAAAATCTCAAAATGCCAATTTTAAATTTTTTTTGTTGTTTTTCCAATAAAAATAAGGTTTAATTCGACTAAGATAACTTTAAAAATACTGGCTTTTGCCTGATGTTGATATTTTCCTCTCGATTCTCTCTGCCTTTCTCTCTCCCTCTCTCTCGCTCTCTCGCTCTCCCGCTCTCTCCCGTTAATGCGAAAGCGCCTTTATTAATAGAAAACTTTGGAAAATAGGAAATTCTTGTTAGCAATACGCAAAAAGCCTAAATGATACCTGGTGGTGACCTCTCCATCTCCAGAAGTGGCAGGGGCAGTGGATGAATGGGTTGTCGTCCTCTCAGTATATCCACCATATCCACCACCGGGTTGTCCATAAGACGTCGTTGTCGTGGTACCACCGGGTGAGAAGGCGCTCGAAGACTAAACAAAAGTAAAAATTCGTTGACTGCATGAAAATCGACTGACTTGTCGGGGCTCGAGCTCATCGGTGGATTGGCCAAAGGCGTGCATGAGTCGTCGGGCCGGTTCAACCTGGAGCAGCTTCATCTGGACGGCCTTCGGGAGGGTGTATCGGCGGCCGGTGGTTGGGTGCACAATCTCCCCGGACATCACGTCCAAAAGGCCTGGAAAACGTCGCTATTCCGTTAGCGGGGGGGGGGGTATTTTCCCTACCTCCCCTGCTAATAAACCAGCTCCAAAAACACTTACCAGTCTCGGCAGCTTCGCGAACCGACACCCGATCGTTGGTGGCAGGGTTTTCGATGACGCGTCCCTCAGTATCGAATTGAGCAGCTTCAAGGGCACTCAAAAATTCGTGCTGCATCTCGGCCAGTGAGGACGGGTCTTCGATGATCGAGCTGAACGATGCATTAATGGTATGATGGTGTCCTACTTACCGTGCTCGGTCAGCGGCATGTCCAGTCGAATCAGACATCCTCATCCTGACGGCCAATCCGGGTTCGTTTGGCCTGTTCAGCCGGTAGACGGTCGTTTCTTCGGCGACTCGAGGATTCGAGTGTCGGTGGTGGGCCTTGGCTTCGTCGAGGCCTTCCAGGCGGAACCTACATAGAAATTTATTGACTTCCGTTCCAGAACTCTCGTAGGAACCCCCCGTTAACGCCAAAGACCCGTTCTCACCTGTATCCCTCGGCGTCACGTCGTTTCACGGCCTCAGCCACAACTCGTCCAGCCTCCATTGGGGATGCAATGAGGGCCAAATGTCCGTGTTCAACAGCTTCCTTCAGTCTCATCTTCTGTCCACTCTTCGGGTCAACATATTTCCCATCATGGTCAATACGTCCACGGGCGAGGGCTTCACGGAGGGTAAGGGTTTGGGCAGAATCGGTCTCGTGTAGCAGCGATTCACCATCGATCAGATCACGGTCGACGGCTGCCTAGAAAAAACACGATTTTCGAAAAGTACTACCTTAATTGCTTACCTTAAAAGGAAGATGCAATCCCGATTTCTTATCGCGCAATCGTCCAGAGCTCTCATCGAAATCGTGCGACTCGAGAACGTTGGCCAAATTGGTTTCGGCGGCCCCTTCCATCGGTCGAACGCTTCCCGCATCCATGAATCCCTCATCTACAGCTTGTTGCATCGACATTTGACGGCCGGTGTCTGGGTCGCGGAACATGTTGTTCGTCACGTCGACCAGGCCTTTGCCCAACGCCTCCGCCAGGGTCAGCTTGTCCACCTGGAAAAGTAGAATTTTGATAAAAAACAAATTTTCCTCAAAACAAAACAATTCGAAGTACAAAATTGATTGTTCTCGCGTATTAGACTTATGAACCTCTCGTACCTGTCGAAGACGTTCCCCGATGTCTCTTGGGATACGGCCATCCTGGAGAGCCTTGGCAATAGGGACAATGCTCTGACGGCTCAGCTGGACGGTACGGTTCTTCGGGTCAACGATACCGCTGCGTACGGCTTCGATCAGTGAGACGTCGCGGTTTGTGTGGAAATCGCGAATCGACGGCCGGGTGAGCGCCTCGTGGGTACCCCTAAGGAATCGATAATTAGATATAGCATATTTTGTCAATTTCAGTCCTATTCTTCAGTGGCTAAGCTACCGCCTATTTTATCTCAGCTCTGTGTCGTTCTACAGGCAGGTAAAGTATACCAAAATACTCGCCAGACCAAGGTGAACATTTTGCTATACTTTACATGCCTGTAGACATACAAAGAGCCGAGATAGAAAAGTTTTTAACGAGACCTACCTATCCATCAATCCCTTGTCCAACGCGTGCTCAATATCGGTATATTCTCCAGTAATCGGGTTATGGTATCTTCCGGTCTTTCCATCGATCAATCCCTCATTCAACGCAACAGAAACCGGAACCCCGTATCCCTTCGTCGGATCGTAGATTCCCTCGCTGGTGACGGCGTTGTAGACGGGCTTCAGCAGATCCAGCCATGTTAGTCTCTCCTTAGTGTGCGGGTTTCGCACCTCGCCCGTTCTTCCGTCGACGATGCCGAGCTGTACGGCCTTGGAGATTGGGATCCTCTCGTTGGTGGTTGGGTGGATGACGCCCTTTGGCAGCGTCTCCGAGAGGGTCACATCCAGGAGTCCCATATTAGCTGCTTGGGCCAATGGGACACTGTCGCCGCTCTTCGGGTCGGCGTACGTCAAGCCGTTCAGATCGATGAGACGAGAGCGAATGGCGTCTTCCAAAGAGATCTTTGACCCGTTTCCGTCGACGACTCCCTGAAATGTTTTGAAAAGATGAAGGCAAAAATCCATCCCACCTTGGTGACGGCGTTATGGAGATTGGATCGGAAGGCGGCGTAGGTCTTGGTGTGCTGCTTGCCCTTCTTGTCGACACGGGCCAGTCCGATTCTCTTCGCATCTTCGAGGCTCATCACGCGGTTGTTGCGCTTGTCGCGGATGCGGTCGATGCCGACGAATTCGGCATGGGGCTCAAGCTCGACGGATTGCACCTGAAAAATGAGAAGCCATAGATTCTGCCCCTAATTTCCCTTACCTGCGAAGTGCTCTTGACGGTCGTCTTCGTCTCGGTCACAAACGGATCTCCATGCATTTGGATCGTGAACTTCATTCCAGTCTTTGGGTCCACGTACTGTCCCTTCTCAATTCCGTGCTCATCGCGGACAACATTGACGACGACTTGCTGACCTCCGCCCAGATCCATCATCTCCTGTCGGGGGCCACGGCCGTCACCACGAAGTGCGACGGAAGAGGGGCCGCCGGAGGGGGAGAAATCGGTGTATTGAAGGGATTGCTCGACAATACGGTGACCGCCATGTTGATGGGGGATGGAGAAGTTCTGATGGGTGGAATGGCCAGAGGTCGAGTGGTGTTGGGTAATTGCTGGGGGTTGACGGGGTTCAGCTCGGCCGGTGAAGTCGCGCTCAACGATGTCGGCCACGGATTTGCCCTTGAGGAGTCCCTGAAAAAAAAAATTGTGGTTGATGCGGCCCTTTCGCATTAGCGGGGGGGGGGGACAATTTGCTCTGTGGATCCAATTTTTCTAATACAAATAAATATTTCTAAACGGTTTTGTACTATCTCTGAGCGCAAGAAATTTACAAATTTTCTAAAAAAGACAAAAAAGATTTTAGAGCTTTAAATTTTTTAAGTGTTTTTCCAGTTCAAATATGGATTAATTTTTCTAAAAACATTGTCAATTACGTATTATTAGGTTACTGCGTATTTCTAGATTTTTTTAAGGAATAACCCGCCCCCCCCCCCCGATATTGCAAAAGAACCCAGAATGCTCTATTTCACCCCCACCTGGCTCAACGCGTCCTTCAAATTGACATGGCGGCCGGTGTTGCTATCCGTAACCGTTCCCGCGGTATCATCAACCAATCCCTCGTCCATCGCCTCCAACAAGTTCATCTCCTTGTTGCGCCTCTTGTCGACGACGGTGATGTCGTACGGGTTGAACATGCCCTTCACGATGGCTTCCTGAATGGAATTGGTTGATTCCTAATTTTTTGATGCACCTTGAGGGTGAGCTGCTTCTGGGTCTCGGGATGGGTGAACGTGCCGGTGTTGCTGTCATACCATCCGATGGCCTGTCCGAAGGATGATCCTCCAGTCAGGGCTCCAGGTCCGGCTAGCGCCTCCTTCTTGGCGACGGCGGTGCGGGTGTGGACCTAAGAAAATGCTGTTGGTGATGTTGATGTTTGTCTACTTACCTTGACGGTGGTGTGGAGGGCATCTCCAGCATTGTCGGGAACACCTCCAGTCGGGTAGATGCGGTGCTGTTGAGCGGCCTCGGTGAAGGTGAGGCGATGGCCGGTGTTCTTGTCCATATAATAGCCGGATCGGCTGTCGATGATTCCCCACTTCTCGGCCTCCTCGAAGCCCATTTCGCGGCCGGTCAGGGCGTCGCGTACGCGCAGATCTTCGCGTTGCAGTTTTCCGGAAGCGACAGCGGCCTATAAATGTGGAGATTTAATGCGGGGTAGGATTTCGTCATATTTTTGAGACTGCGGCGAACAAAATCTCGATGTATTGTATCTCCGCTCAGTATTGAGCTACAGGTATGTAAAGTATACCAAAATGTTTGCCTCGATTTGACAAGTATTTTGGTATATTTAACACGCCTGTAGAACGACACAGGGCGGAGATACCAAATTTGCTAGCCTGCTGCAAGGGCAAAATGCGTTTGATCATGTTTTCTATAGTTGAAACCCACCTCCAAAGTAAGCCGTTGCCCTGAAACATGATCGACGAGCTCTCCCTTCTGAGAGTCGAAAGACCACGCCTGCTCGGTCTCCTCAACAACCGGATGTCCCACGGAACGGAAGGCCAGCACGGGGCCAGATTGGGTGGAGAATTGGATGATCTTGTTGCCCTCATCAATCGGCACCAAGGCTTCCGCCTCGACGACGATGGTCTTCTCCTCGATGGCTCTTTCAAGGGGGCTACCCTTCACTCGTCCATTCTCATCCATTGATCCGTTTTCGAGGGCTTCCTTCGCATTCACCATACGGCCGCTGCGGTCACGGACAAGGATAGTGCGTGCGTCGATGATGCCGAGTTCGATGCCTTCCTAGAAAGGAATGATACTTTGTTGTTTTTATAGTAGAGAGATAGTTCAGGATTTCTTGATAAGCTCTATACCTTGAAGGAAAGGGTCTGATCGATTCCAGGTGGAGTGATTTTTCCGGAAGTAAGATCAACGATACCCTTGCGCTCAGCTTCATAAAGATGGTATCCACTGGCCGGCACCTAAAGAGCCTGTTAGAATACCATTCTATAAACTTACCTCCAATGCTCCCTTGGCTCCTGTGATAGCCCTATAGACAGAAACACCTCCAGGACCTCCCAAAGCAGTCGTCTCGGTTGTTCGTACCCTCTTGACTGTAGTGACAGACTCCTCGACATTCTTGTCGGGGTACACCTTGGGGGCAAGTTGTTGTCCAGTCTCCATGACACTCTCCGTCGTCTTCTCCTCAATTGTCGGGCCAGCACCCTTTTCCTTGGCCGGGACAACCCATTCTGAAGCCGGATCGATGAGACCCTAAAATGCGGTTAATTCTTAACTCTGAAGGCCCAACCTGAGAGAGGGCATCCTGCAACGACATGTCGATATCACCCTGTCGGAATCGTTGGGTCCTCGAGTCGATCAGCCCCTGTTTCATCGCTTCCTCAAGGGTGACCTTGACCTGATCGGCGGCCAACTCGAATGGCCCCGAGGCGCCAGGGCGAGAGATGCGCTTCTTCTTGTCGACACGCTTGACCGGGGCCACGAGTGAGGGGTGGATGTCGAACATTCCTTGGAGTTGAAGAGCTCCACGGAGTGAGACGAGACCACGCTCGTAAGCCTGGGGGACCGTGTATTCTTGGCGGGATCCCTTGTCGAAGAAGACGGCCTTTTCGGCGTCGATCAGTCCACGGGCAACGGCGCGAATGACGGAGAGGGAGCTCGAACCCTCGCGGATTCCGATTGGCTTGACGAGGAGGTCGAGGAGGACAGGGTCGACGATGTCCTTCGCCTGAAAGGTATAGGATTCAAGATTGTTGTGAGGGTTTTGTACAAACCCTCTCATCCGACAGCATGAAGCTGTCCCGGGTGGCCAAGTCGACGACCCTCTCGGCGTTGGGGATGAGCACTCCCACATTAACAGCATCGTTGTAGGAGAGCAGCCCGCCGGTTTGGGTGTTCTTAAAGTAATATTGGATTGATTAGCGTCCTTCTGGAATTAATACCTTGAATCCCTTGATGTCAAAGATGGAATGGCGGACCCTCTTGGCGAGGAGTCCCTCACGGAGTGCCTCTCCAATCGAGAATTCCCGCTGCTCCTTCTCGAGGCAGATCTTTCCGTGGGCATTCAGAAGGCCTCGCTCCAGGGCGGCGGCGATGGAGATGACGTCCTGCTCGTCAGGGTCAACAATGTGACGGACCTGAAGGATGTTAGGTCTTATTTTTCAGATTTTCGTGCTCACCTCGGCGTCGAGGATACCGGCTCCGATGGCCTCGAGCAGCGAATATCGCGATTTCGTGGCCGCATCGATGAATTGACCGGTGGAGTCGATGAGGTTCTAAAAATGCGGTACTTTGAGCTCGAGCTAACTGACCTTCTCGTGCATCTCGGTGATGGTGCGCGGTCGGCAGATGAGATCTTCGCGATGGGCCTCGCGAAGGGACAGGTTCTGCTTGTGCTGCAGATCCCTAAAATGCTCGAACATGCTGAAGACGTCGGGTGTATCCCACCTGAAGTTCCCTGCTCGCAAATCGATCGCATTGCGGACGAGGGCCTGGCCGAGGGTGAGCCTCGTCTTATCGGCCGTGTTGACAATCTCCGGTACATGGGTGTTGAGGAGGGCATTCTGCTTGCTGGTGGCCTCGCGGAGGGTGAACTTGTCGTCGCCGTGTTTGTCGACAAACTCGCCGTTGTTGCCGTTGATGAGGTTGTACTCGATGGCGTCGCTGAGGGTGGCCGCGATCATGGCTGGTTGGCCGGTGGCACCGCCTGCAAAAAATGGGCATGCTTTTTTATTTTGCGCTCTTTTGAGCTTAAATTCATAATTTATGAATATTCTATCAAATGGTGTCTTCAAAATCTCGACAAATTTAGAAAATTCATAAAAAATAGCTTTTTAGATATATTTTCCAAGGGCATTTTTGTGTTTTCCATAACTGTCACATTTTGCACTATTTTGAACTTAGATTAAAAATGGCACTAGAGTCTTTATGCTCTACGGAATGGCGGCAAAAATCGTGAAAATATCGACATTTTTGGTGAATAGAGTTCACCTTTCCCTTTTAAATTAATCAAAACGCTTAAGACTACAAACAACATAAACCCCGTACCTCCAACACGGACATATCCGTGATAGATAGCATCCTTCAACGGCATCTGCTCCTTCGTGTATTTGAACACAAATTCCCCAGTATGCGTGTTGAGCACATTCTGGTCAATGGCCGCTTGCAGAGACATTGGGGGCAGCTTCAGCACTCCCATCTTGATCAGCTTGTGCTGATTGTCGAAGGAGACGATCTTCTTCGTCACGCACTCCATCATGTCGAGCACCTCAATTCATGCTAATGCAAATTTCTCATCCCTCCTACCTCGCCAGTGTGGATGTCGCGCAGTTGGCGGATATCCGGATCGTAGAGACCGATCTGGATGGCGTCGAGGAGGGAGAGTGATGCTCCAGTATCGGGATGGTTGAGGCCCCAGTGCTTGTTCAGGGTTTCCTAAAATTGGCTTTGTAGGGTTAAACCGAGGATTCATTCGTTATGTCGAAAACTTCACGCAGAAGAAAGCGCGAAAATTCCGACAGCAAAATACCGACAGATAAAATGCCGACGGTCAAAACGTCGCCAGCTAAAATGCAACTAGCTGTTTCAGGGGAATCGGAATTCAAATTAGCGTCACGAACATGTCGGGTTTTTGACTTTCCGCCTTTCGGATATCAGGATTTTCGCTGTCGGTATTTTTGCTGTCGATATTATGACAAGAACATTTCGAAATTTTGGCCATCGTGATTGCTGATGTCGGGTTTTTGCTTTTTGGGTATTTGGGTGTCGATATTTTGGATTTCGAGATTTGGGATGCCGTTATTAAGGCAGTCGGGATTTTGGAAGTCTACATTTAGGCTGGACTTCATTACACAACCCACCTCAAATCCTCCATCAATGTATCCCAATTCGGCGGCTTGCTTCAGGGTCAGCCTCGATCCAGAGTGAAGATCGAAGAATTGACCACCACCGGCGTGCAGGTCGAGCAGACCCTAGAATACACCCTAAAAGTTGCCCTGAACTATCGTACCTGGCGGACAGCCTCCACAAACGTCAGAATCTCTCCGGTCTGTTTGTGCAGCACGCCTTCCATCTCGTAGAATTGGGTAGAAGTGATCGTCTCCTCTTGGTAGGTTTGCATCTCGTCCTCGTGCTCCGAGATCTAAAATTGAAAAACGTGTTTAGAGGTGTTCGATAGCTTCCAAGTATCCATTATTTTCCCCCAATGATCTTTGCTCGCTCACCTTGGGCTGATGGGTGATCGGCTGGACCTCCTCGAACTCGTCGACGCCCTCTTCGCCAAAGCCACCGATGATCGGCTTGAGCGGCTCAAGCTAAATAGCGATTTTTCATTAAATATTGATATTTAATCGAAGAGCAATGTTGAATTTAAAACTTGACATATTTTTCGTTAATAAATAAGGTAACAATTTTAATTCCATTTAAAAAGGCTAAATCACAGTAAATTTGATTTTATTTTCCTGATTTCCGGCTTTTTACACCTAGAAAAATTTTTCTGAAGGAACCAAATAAATTTAAAGGAATAGACAATGCAAGGCTATGGATTTTCTATGGATTTTGCAGCGCGCTACGACACGCACCGCAAGCGCCATCATTTGCGTAATCGGTTGTGACAGGGTTACCGAGAAAACCGGCGTATCGCCGCGGCAAAATCTATAGGAAATCGTATTTATACCTTACATGTCCCTTTAACAAAATTCTAGGCTTAAATCTCATGTTTTTGAAGGTATCTTCAATTAGTATGAGCTGGGGATATCGTTTTTGAAGACGTGTGGGCCACACAACTCTCACTCGTGGTTTTTTTAAAATTGCCACTTTCAAAACAGATCGCTTGCCACGTTAACTATATTTCAAATTAGTGATATCGCCAACACAATACAAGCAGAAAACTCTTACTCTTTCTCTCTCAAAAATACCTTTCTCTTCCACTCCTCCTCCCGTCTGCGTCTCTCCTCTTCCTCCCTTCTCTTACGATCCTCTTCATCTCTCCTCCTCCTCTCCTCCTCTTCCCTCCTCCTCCTCTCCTCATCCTCCCTCTGCCGTCTCCGAGCATCTTCCTCAGCCTGTCTCCTCCTCCTCTCCTCTTCTTCTCTCCTCCTCCTCTCTTCCTCCTCTCTCCTCCTCCTTGCTTCTTCATCTGCTGCTCGTCTGGCTGCCTCTGCAGCTTCTCTCTCCCTCCGTAGACGATCAGCGTCTTCGAGAGCCTTGAGGCGGGCGGCTTCGAATGCTCGTCGTTTCTCCTCTTCTTCGGCTTTTCGTCGGTCTTCCTCTTCCTTTAAATGCGGTCAGTCTCATTTACACACAAGCCACACGCCGCACGCCAGCGTATCATCATTTTTATCGGATTATTCGGGTGTAGAGGCAGGAAATTTAGGCAGATAAATTTTCGAAAACTTTTGAAAAAGTTATTTTCGAAAATTTTACAAAAAGTTGATTTCGAAATGATGATTTTCGAAAATATTTATGTAAATCTGAAAAACACACATTTCAAAAATTATGTTCTTTCTTTTCCTGCCTGTACACGCCATGTAAAAATTTTTATCCGAGTTAGAGGGGAAGCGGTGTGGATGGTTAGTGAAAATTAGAAAAAAATCTCGAATTTGATCGAATCATGCAAATTTTGGTTCTCTACAGGGACCACCAACACCTAGGGAATCCCATGATTTGCTTGATACTTTTCGTATTTCGAAATTTCCCTGGTTTTACAGGGACTTTACAAACCATAAATTCCTTTATAGTAAACCCCGAATTTCGTACAAAATATACAAATAGCTTGCAGCGTCAAAAATCCCTGTAAAACCAGGAATTTCTCAAATTTGCTGCCTTTCCCTGCGGGACCAACCTGCTTTTGGCGCTTCCAGTTCTGGATGAGGACCTGAAATTCGTAATTTATTTGGCTTTTAAACCCTAAGATACCTGCATAATGTTGCGGCGCTCGAGGATCAGCGACGAGAGCTGGGCGAAGCGGCGGTTGAGCTGCTCCAACTCCTCGGTCACCTGGGTGGCACCGTTCTTTGGCTGGGGCTGCGATCTGAAAAAAACAACGTTTGAAGGTATCAACAGAGAATCCATAGCATGCCTTACATGGTCCCTTAACCTCTAAAAATCGTCAATATTCACCTGCGGAACTCGTTCCGGATGCCGGTTCCGTGATGGCGGACGACGTTGTCGCTGTACTGGTTCAAGCGGATGTCGAATTGCTAGAATTCAAAATTATTTTCGAAACGTTTTATTGATGAATTTTGGCAATATCGAAATGAAATCGTGATGTCGAAATCTCATAATGCCGAAAATCAAAATTTTCAAAAAGTCGGCATTCTGATAGTAATCGTTCATTTTCGAATTCTGACCTTGGCATCCCGAATGAATTTTCCTCCTTCACGATTCACATTCTCAATGGCATCAGTATGCTCCTGTAGTTGAGCATATTCAGCCACGAGGATGTCGAGCTGCTTCTGATACTGCTCCGGCTTCAGCTCCTCCGGTTTCCTCAGCTGGTTGATCGTTGCCTCGACTCGATCGAGCCACGCCATCTCATTCTCCCATTCGCTGCGGTAGACCATCTGGATCTGGAGGGCCCTCTCGACGGCCTTCAGACGTTCGGCAACTTGAGCACCGACATTCTCCCAGCGCACGTTCAGTTGTTGAACCTCTTCTTCGATACGGTCAACGTCGGGGTGGCTAAAGACGGTTTATTAGGTATTTTTTTTTGAGATAAGTGGATTATTGTCAAAACTTCCAATTTGTAAATTGAACTTGCCGAATTTCATTTTGTCGATATTTTACTTCGTCGAAATCCCAAATTTTCGAAAATTGATCTCTTTTTTCGGGATTTTGCCGAATTTTGTGGGATTTGTTGGCATTTTGTAGGAGTCTATGGGGATGTGTCGGTATTTTTGTCTAATCTGCGGGAATTGTCGGGATTTTGTCGAAATCGGTTTGGTTGAAATTGTATTTTCGAATTTTTGGGATATGGAAATTTCTACAAAACTTTCGACAATGAATTTTCGACAAAAATTTCGACAAATTGAATTTCGGCCTTCTTATTGTCGACTTTTTCCTAGCAAACCGAACTAACTGATTTACCTGTGAACATCAATCCTTGTTCGGGCGACGTGCTGGCGAAGGAGGGCAACATTCCTGTTGAGCGTGTCGATGACGGTTTGTTGTTGTTGGAGGACCATGTTCATCTCCAGCAGCTGCGAGTGGACGCCGCGCAGTTTGGCAATGTCGGCGGGCAGGTCGTCGAAGCTGGATTAAAATGTATTTTCGATATTGTTCGTTGTTTGTACCTGTTGAGGGTGACCTCGTGGGCGCGGACGATGTCGTCTACTTCGACCATACCGTTCAGGACGGCTTCAAGGACCTAAAAAAAGGATACAAAGTAGTGAATACAAAATAAAAACCTGTAAAAACTACAAATTTTCATAAAAAGAATTTTCGGCATTTAAATAAAAAAGATTGGTACTGGGCTATTAGCGGGGGGGTAGTAAATATAGTACATACCTTGATCCTCTCGACGTACATCCTCGACAGATCCCACAAATTCTCCCAAACGGCGCCCAGCTTCTCGTTGTTGATGCGCTGAGATGGGGTGGGGTTGGGCAGCTGTCTGAACAGTTCCTTCACGTTCGCCACGTCCGCGTCCAGGGCCTTAAATAAAAATATATGTAAACTCGTGAAAAGCAAAACCTGGAGAGCATCTTCGAAATGCTTGTGCTCGACGATCTCCCTCTCGAGCTCCTCGGGGGTCCTTGGCAACGGCTTTCCGACCCTCTCGTTCAGCTTCCTCCAGGCTTCATCGAGTTTCCGGAGAAGATCAGCAACAGCCTGGTCATATTGGGAGTTGTAGTCGGGCTCTGGGGGTCGTTGGCTTTGATTGAGGAGATTGTAGAAGTGGTCCATCGTTCTCTGGAACTCGTCCTTCAACCGTTTGTACAACGGGTCATCGCGGTCGAGCTCGCTGAGCAGCTTGTTCACGTCCGTTTGCAGGGCTGTAAAAAAGTTGAATAATACCGACATTTCATCTTTTATAATTTCATATCGCATCATTCAGTAATGCCAAATTTCATAATACCGAATTTTTTGCGTGCAGAAATTGATAATGCCGAAAATTCTAATAATGCCGATTGATTATGCTGAAATTTCGCCGAATTCGATAATACCGACATTTGAAATGCCGAAATTCCATGGAGAAAAATCCCGAATTTCCAAATTCCTAATTTGCATAAAGCCGATGTATGATAGCGCTTTTTATAACGTCGATTTTTGAAAACAAAACAAAATTTTCATAATGCCAAATCGCTATTATGCCGAATTTTATATTTATAATAAGGTATCGTAAAAATGCCGACTTATGAATTTTCGGCATTATGAAAATTCTGCATTTTGAAGATTCGGCATTATGTCGAGAAATCGAAAAAAGCTATTAAAAATCTGATGACACGATACCTTTAATGATCTCATCCCTGGCCTTGGGGTCAATGGAGTTGAACGTGTCGAGATCCCATCCCTGGATTTGCTTCATCGTGTTCAGCACCATGTAGAAGTGGACGAGGCGACGCTTGCGTTCCCACAGCCTGCGCAGCTTCTCGAGTCTCTGGTGGAGACGACCAAGGATCTCGGCAAGGCGACCATCTGGTGGAGGAATACGGAAGACCACGGATGGGACAGAGCCTTCTTGTCCAGAGATATCACGGATGCGCCAGTGGATCAGGTCGGAGTTGTCGAGCAGGGCAACGTCATCTCCGGCACGGATGTTCACCTGAAAAACAAGGAGATATGGAATGTTGGGGCTAATTTTAGAATATCGAAATTGAAAGTATTGAAACTGAACCCCCCCCGCTAATGAACCAGAACCAGAAAACCAATTTTCTCACCTCCTTGCTAGAGTAGTCGCAGAGGGCGGTGACGACAATCGGGCGCGAGATGCGCTCACCACGCTGCCACAACGGCGAGATGTTGGCGACACGTTCGGTGAGCTGGTGCAGCACATCCTGGTACTTCTTGATCGTCTCGTCGATCTCTTCGAGCTCCTTGAGGTACCGCTCGCCCTCCTCCAACGAGAAATCGGTCCTTGTGTACGATCTCTCGAGGTGTGCTGTCTGTTGCTCCATCCATTCCTCGGCCTCCGCGGCCTCCTCCATGAACGTCTTCAAGTTGAGGGCGTCGCGGAGATGCTCTTCCAAGCACTTCGACAACGACATCAGCCAGTCCCACTGGGAGGTCATAGTTCTGAGGTACACCTCGATGACGTGGACGGCGGGGTGGCCCTGGTTGAGGAGGGCGGCTCCTTGATTGTGGACGTCGTTGAAGGGCTTTTCGCGGAGTTCAATTTCGTGTAGAAGTTGTTTGTAGTAGTTCTGCAGCATCGGGGTGTCGAGCTGTCGGATGTCGGACCAGTTTCGGGTCACTTCGATCTCCTCGCGTTCGGATACCCAGACGAGTTCCATTTGGGCGGCACGGACGAAGGCGATCAGCGAGTCCTAGAAGTACAGGTTGTCAAATTGTCCCGTTTTTTTTCTTTTAAATTACTGCGGAGTTTGGAAGCCTAAGCCGAAGCCCAAGCTGAAACGAAGCCTAAGCCCAAGAAAAGTCTCTAAAACTAGCCTATCCTAACAAACGTACCAAATCCAGCATACGGCCAGCAGAGAGGTCGCGCAGCTGTTGGTACTCGCTCTCCAAGATACGCAACAGTTCACAGTAGTCATGCGTATCCTCGGCGGAGACCTCGGCCTGGCGGGCGATGCACTCGTCAACGCTTTGGCGGAAGTCTTGGATGTCTCGGTTGTCGACCTTGTGCTTTTCGAACATTGTCTCCAGGACTTCGAGGTCTTCAACGAATTCCATGTTGGAGAGGCGCTCCTGGAAGACAGAGAGACTTATATTAGGTTTCCTAGGAAGGTGATAGATGGCCATATATCCTACGCTTCAAATCGCGACACGCAACGCGCGTATTACGCGTCAAATTCGTTACGTTGCGCTACGCTACCGCGCAAGAATCGTTTATACCAGACATGGCAATTCCGATCGGCCGAGCCGCGCGGCCGGGTCGGCGGCCTAATTTCCATAAAAAACGCGGCCCCCTACGAGCCGCCGTAATTAGTTACTTCCGGAAATGCGGCTTCGCGGCCGAGCCGCATTTTCATCGCGGCTCGGCCGGGCCGCTGCGGCCAAGCAGCAAACCGGAAGTGGCTCATTCGCATATCGAAAAACCGCGAATTTCATGCCAAATGGGAATGGAAATGAAAAAATTAAGGCTGTCGAGTATGGATATTCCTCGCTAGCAGGCTAAATAGCATGCATCTCTGATTTCCGTGCCGGAAGTACTCAAAACTCATTTGGATGCGGCCTCAAAAGCCGCGCGGCTTGGCCGCCGTGCGGCCCAAAACGGAAAAAGCGCGGCCGCGCCGGAAGTGCGGCCAGCCGCGCGGCCCGGGCATTCTAATTTTGCGGCCGAAAAAGCCGCGCGGCCCGGCCGATTGCCATGTCTGGTTTATACTGTCCAGAAAACACCAACAAACTAACCAGACGAGTGCGAACCCATTCGATGCACTCCTCAACCCGGGAGAAAGTCGATTTTCGGGCCGTCTCCAGGCGTTCTGTGTTCTCGCGGCTATAATGGCAGATTAAACCAAAATCAAATGAGATTTACCGCAGGGTCTCGGTGCGAAGGCCAAGACGGGTCAGCAGGCGATTCGTCAGACGCTCCAGATAGGCCGTGCGGCGTTGGTGAAGGCCGTACACCCTGGAAAAGGCTCCCAAAGACCATTGAAAACGTACTGTCGATAGAAATCATTGGCGTCGGGGTGTCGTTGCTCCTTTAGTTCATCAACATCTTCAAAGAATCCCTGGATCGGGCTCTCCAACACGTTCAGATCATCAACAATCCCGTGGACGGCACGCTCGATTTCGGTGGGCGGGCTCCGGTCGACGCGCGCTTCGACGTCTTCGATGCGCTGGAAATGTAGGAAATCATTTTTGTTAGCAGTTTCTAGCTAAAAATGCAAACAATTAAATTTTGGTGCTGGTGCAGTATCGGTGGGGTAATTGGAGCTTGTCGTAGCTATCTTTAGAAAGTACGGGCAAGGATCATGAAAGCCTGAATATATCAAAAAAATGCAAAATATCGATTTTTCTAACCGAAATTTCGAATTTTCGATTTTTAGGCAGTTTTTCGATAATTTTCCGCTTGAAATATAGTTAAATTTTGCTAACGCCATTTAAATACTTACCAGGTCCCCCGCTAATGCACAAGCACCCAAAAACTCACATGGAGAATGAGGTCGAGCTTCTCGTTGGTGATTCCAATTCCACGGGTCAGACGAGAGATCAGATCGTCGGCAGAGGACTGGAAAATATTTAGATATTTTTTATTAATAAATATTAAAAAGCCAAGGGTAACATATAGTCAACATAAAATATTTGTTAATAAGGATTGAAGAGCCACAAAAAACATAGAGACATTTCGTTATTGTTTCAGGGTATTTTGAGCAAGACCTGGTTAGCTTGACGCTCCATGAGCAGAGCCTGTCTTCGATCCATCGAGTCCAACAATTCATTCCACAATCGATTCAAATTCGCCGGGCTGAATCGCTGCGGGACACCCAACACCCCTGTACTCTCCAGTCGATGGTAGATGTTCTCCAGTCGCAACTTTTCGTCATGTTTTGGGGGTAGATCTTCGTCTCTGAATCGCCCGAGCTCGTAGAGGAGCTCTTCGGATGAGGCGGTGAATAGGCGCTCATCGATTAGAGATGTCATCCGGGTGACCCAGTCGATCCATTGTTGTGCTTCGGCCTCGAACTCGGCTTGGAGACGTTCAAGCTAGAATTGGACGGGGACGTGACAGGGACGGACGACAAGTTCAAGGGGTTTAAAGAGGCTATGGATTTTGCAGGAACCGTGGTCTGACCGAAGCCTAAGCCGAAGCCAAGCATAAGCCTGAGCCCAAGCTCGACCTATGCCTAAGCCAGCGTGTTCCAGAACTACGCCACAAAGACGAACAATATTTTCGACAAGTACGGGAGCAGCAACTTTTACACAGAGAAAAAGCTGATGCTCACCTTGCTCATCTCTGGCAAATGGGGCAACTTGTTGTAGAGCTCGGAGACGTAGGTGATGATCGATTTCTCCTCGGGGTGCTCGGTATCGACGTCTTCCGCGTCTAAATTGCAGTGTTTTAAGGTATAAAAATTCTATGGACAAATTTGAAACGGCTCTGTTCCATTCCAAAAAATTACCAATCAACCGGGTGACGCCCCATTCGCGCTCGGCGACGCGGAACGCATTTTCGAGACGCTCCTTGTTGGAGACGGAGGCGTCGCTGATCTGAAAAAGTATAAAATGAGGGAAATATGCCTAATTTCTGTATTTCTTCTTACGTTTCACCTCTCAAAAAGTACATTACTTTCCAGTGTACACCCTTGCATCCCCGAGGCATAGAAATAAAATCTCGGCGTGCTGCTGCTGACTCAGCGCCGTCGCCTTATTCAACACAATTTTTGCGTTTTGGTTCCGGACCCGGGAGGGGTAGTTGAATTTGGAATTTCGACATTTTTTATGAAAGAAATTTCTGGATTTCAGGGAAAAATCAGAATGCTGTCCTCAATAATTTCTGCTAGCACGCCCCAAGGTTCACCTTTGCCCAATCGATCGAATTGGGGCGGTAGCGGTGTAGAATGGCGTTGAACGCCAGCCCATCTCGCCACGATGACCCGAAATTCGTCACGTTCACCCGGGGATAACCGGCCGTCACCTAGAAAATGTTGAAAATGGCCAAATTAAATGTTTACTTTTTAGTATAGCCTTTTAAAATTTGATATTTTAAATAACTACTTACCTTTCGAGCCCATTGGAGAAGAGCGTCCCTGGCTGAGGTGCCGCTCTCTGCTCCCAGGATCTCGGAGACCTGCAAATAGGATGTTATAATTTTGTATGAAAGTCACAATAAACATTTTTAACCTTAAAAATTGCTAAAAAATCATATATTTTCAAGACAACTGGCAAAGGCTAAATTTAACGAGCCTTTTTGGTGTTTTTACGCTTCAAAATCAGCAAAAATAAAAAATTTTTAAGAAATTTTTCGAAGATAGCTACCCTTTATCGCGTTTTTCTAGCTCTTTTTAGCGTAAAAACTATAGTTTTGAAGGTTTCAGTATTAAAATCCACAAAAATAATCATTTTCACAACGTAATCGATTTTATTAGCTTTTAAATAACGTTAAAAATCCAGGATCCTTGGCTATGGCTTGCCAGTCCCTTTAAAACGACAGAAAACCTGTAGGACGCTCTAAATTTTGATTAAATTTAATTTTTAACTTCCTAGTCACACTGCTTGACCACCAATTATTCTCCAGCTTCCCCCAGCGCTCATCGCAGCGCGTCTAATCCCCCCAGCCACTTTCCATTCACCGGGTGAAATTATGCGTCGTCTTGTCGCACGCGCGGCGCGTGTTTCGCTTGACATGGGGGGGGGCAGTGATAAAGGGAAAGTACCAATCGAAGAAGAAGCTGCCTGGCGGGGAACCTGATTTCACTGCAAAATTTCGCGCGGGGCGCAAAAAGTTGCTGTCAAGGGGGAAAGGCGCTAATTTAAGGCCGGAAAAGCCGGGGGTGTCGCCTAATTTGGTGATTGCGGGGGGGGTGTCAATTGGAGTGTAGCGGAGGCGTTGCTTGCGTTTTTTGATCGGTTAAAAATGGCTAAAGGATATGGATTTGTCCGCAGCGTAATACGCAACGCACGGGATTGGCCGATTTTAAGCGCTCATAACCGATTACGCAATGTAAAAGTGGGCGCACGAGATGGAAAATGATCTCGAATCCATAGCCAAAAAAAATCAGCGAATTGTCTGGCACCATAAAACCTGAATTACACTAGAAAAACCAATTTTTCACATAGAATACCACGAAGCTGCCGTTTTTCCATTGCGTAACTGCTTACTACCTTTAATAACCTTTAAAATCGGCAAAATCAAACATTTTCATGACGTAATCGATTCCATCAACTTCCAGACACCTTAAATCCCCTCATTCCCAATATAAAAACACCCCAATCTCAATTTTTGCCTAAATTCCAGCGCGCCCACCGCTCCAGGTTGGCCCAGGTCCAAAATTTGCATAGGAGCTTGTATGAAATGGTGGAATGGGGCAAGAGGGGGGATTAGGGCCCATGCGAGACCCCCTTACGACCCAGCCCAGGGGCCATTTTTCAGAGGATTGTAGAGAGTGGGGGGACCCAAGTGGGCACAAACATCAACATAGAGGCCAATATACAGACAGACAGACCGACACTGTTGATCGGGGACGAGTTAATACTCTTTACACTTCCAAGATCACTGCTAGCTGTCCTGAAAGCGGAAATCTGCTGTCACGGTACCTTTAAAGGACCGTACAAGGGTATGGATCCCATAAGGTTTTCACGAGTACACGACACGCGACGCCCCGGCCGGAATTACATTGCGTAATCGATTACGACATTTGAATAGGGGGTAAGCGGCGTGAGCCTGGCGTATCACGCCAAGAATTTCCATAAGGATCGATGGCCAGTAAAATCACTAGCCAAGCCTTTCCAGTCCTTTAAACTCGTGAAATCAGGGATTTTGATGACGTAACCGATTGTATTGGTGTAAAAATCGAGCGCTGAAAAATCCATAGCCATGCGTTTCCAGTCCCTTTAAAATGGAAGGGTGAGCGAGCGTTTTGCGTGTCGTGGTCAGCTCCAAATCTATAGGCAATCCAAAGCCAACAACACCAAAATTATGCCTTTGCCGTCCCTTTAAAGAGAGGAGAACGTATGCGTTGCGTATCGCGTTAACTTATCCCTTTCCAATCCCTTTAATAAAAAAATCTAATCTTTCCAGCCCCCACACATCCCCCGGCGTGCCAAATTTTTCGGCGACTGTGCCCTGGTGGGGGTGATTGTGGGGTTGAGCAAGAGCTAGAGATCAGGGCAGAATAAGAGGCTCCACACATTCAAAGATATTACCCCCTGCTGTCCCGTTTTCTTCTCCTCTCCGTCCATCTATTGGGCGGTATATAGGGTGTGGCTCTCCCGGGCAACACTCCAACGATCACCACTACCTGCTGCTGCTCCTTTTACCCCTTCATTCCCGAGGAGGAGCACGAGCAGGAGCAGGAGATGACCGGAGGGCACGCCCAAAAAGTTGTGTTTCACTTGGGCACTGTTGCTCAGCGCTTTAGAAGCAAAGGGTCAAAAAGCAAAAAAAATAACACCTCTAGTTACAAGAAAATAAATTCATAAAAATGTTTTAAAAAATAGCCCATCAAAATACTGCCGAGAATTTCGATCGATTTGACTTCACTATCCCTTTAAAATATCTAGCTTTTATCGCCGATCCGATTACGACAGCTAATTCAAAAGGGAAAATCAACAGTTTCGCTTAAAATGCAAATTTTACGCTTTAACGTGCCTTCACTTGCCTTCAAAAGACACGGATTTATGGTAGAGATTTTCACTGAAAACGATTACGACATGTAATTCCAGTTTACTTTTTGCCTTCAACAACCCTTTAAACCGTCGATAGTAATTCCCGCGGATTTTTACGCATTTCCCGGATCCCAGATATCTCCCACCCTTCGATCCCGGCTTATCGAGCGGATTTGGAGCAGGGGAGTGTTTCGGAATTGCTAGCCTCGAGGTCTCTGTTTCTCTCTCTCTCTCATCTCTCTCTCTCGCCCGAATCTAGGCAAGGCCAGGGCGCGCAATCTCTTTAGGCGAGTGATAATGTGTGTGGCTGTGGCTGACTGTTTGGGGGTAAGGCTTTGGCTATGGCCTTGAAGGGGTGGAGGGGGGGAGGGAGCAGAGAGAGGGTGGGATGATGATGAATGCTGCTCGTCGTGGATAGTACTACGGCGGAATGGGTGAAAAAAGGAAGGCAGGGTGTGGCCACCTCCGCTTCTCTCGCCCCCCCTGCCCCCAACAAATTCCTCCTTGAAATCGGGTTCCGCCGGGCGGCGCCCGGATTTTCCGAATTATTCGAGGCCGGTTGATCGGATGCGAGAGGGGGAATTTAAAATGGTGAAATGGAGAACCCAGCTGATTTGAATATTTAAGGGGAGCCAAAATCCGCTCAAAAAGTGCTAAAAATCGGAAAACTCAAACTTACGGAGTAGCTACTCGTACCCCAGTTTTTTTAAACCGGACAGCTAGCAGGGATCCGTTAGGAAAACGGAACCATAAAAATGCTCGGCATGGTATAACTATAATTTTTTCTAAAAAAATCCCGAGAAGCGAGGAAACCCAAGAAAATCCATAGCCATGCCTTGCCTGTCCCTTAAACCTGATAAAAACAAAAAAACTTTGCTTCGGTGGGGGTTCGAACCCGGGCCTCCAACTTGATAGCCCGAGACCGCTAACCACTAGACGATAGAAACCAAAGCAATTTTTGATTTTCAAAATACAATAGTTTTTTGCGATTTTTTGGGGTTTAAAGGCATCAGTAAGTCCATTCAGGTTTACTAGGAAGAGCTCCAACTCTTTTAAAGGGATCAGCAATTCAAAATAGCCCCAATCGATTTTATCGCCTCAACGGTTTGCCCCCACCCTCCGAAGTAGACCATTTTCCGGCCGACCGCCGAAATGGCCAGTTTGCATAACGGCTTCTGCAGGGGTTGCGCGGACCGCCGCCGAGAGAGAGAACCGAAATTTCCGAATTTTCAGGGTTAAATCGGGGAAGATGTGCATGTGGCAGAAGGAAAAGCTTCTTGTAAAAGTGTCAAGCGCTGAATTTCGGTTATAAACTATCCAAAACTACATAAACCAGCTATTTCTGCAGCTTGTAAAGTTCCAAATCCTTATATCTCGGCCAAACCTCCAAAAAACGACGCAAAAAACCTTTTTGTAGGGCTTATAAAGCGTAACCCGCTAATTTGTACGCTGAACTACCTCAAAGCACCTATTTACAAGGTAAATCAACCTAAGTTTCAGGTGAAAGGAACGATTACCAATTTTCCATGACACACCCCACCTACATACAGCTGCCCACTACGAGACATGACTGTAAACAACCATTCGGACACACGATACAAAAGAGGGCAGGTGGGCGGGGTAAGGACCCGGCAAAAAGATACAGATCTACAAGGTTTTTTATGATCTTTTGCGGTCAATCGACCTGGGGAATCGGTTACGCTATGAAGTTCGGTGGCCAAAGTAACGTAAAGTACCGTTTATTCTATTAAGCTACGAATCCATAGCAAAAATATAGAAAAGTAGGGTTTTGCAAAATTTCTAACCCTTAGCTTTTGTTTCTTGCAGACAAATACAAATCTACAAGGTATTTTGTATCTTTTGCGCACGATCAAAATTCCTTACGCAAAGTATAGCAACGTACCGTTTTCAACGTTTTATTCTTTTTTTAGCCCTTCATCCCTCTACTAAACCGTTCGCCCTATTCCCAGCTGGGTGTCCTCCTCCTTGGACGGTTGGTTGGGTATTGAGGGAATGGTGGCTGGAAGGAACTGGTCTTTACTATGCTAGCCAAGGGGGGATGGAACCTTTTGAAGGAACGAGGCTGTGAAATGGCCGAAAAAGGAAAGAAGAGCGGGCGAAAGAAGAAAAGAATGCGGGGAACTGGCCGACCATCGATCTATCGGACGGCCTTGCAAAATGGAATGGTCAGTTCAAGCCCGAAATAGTGGTGAAAAATCTGAATTGACATTGGAAGCTTTGTCTAAAATGAAGTAAAGTAGGATTTTTTACCTAGAAAAAGGTTTAATCTTGTCAAAAAGAGTTTGAAAGAAAAATGGGCAAAAAGCCGGTCGTTCCGTACGCTCCAAATTACGGATTCCGTATCGAGGAGCGGAGCGTAGCTTAACGGAAAAGATTGCGTAATCGATTGGAAAAGATTTTAGAGAAAAAAATAAAATGCAACCAACTAAAGCGTATTTCGTTTTTGGCTAAAAGTTTTAAAACCGGCTTGAATAGATTAAAACGCTGTAAAAATGACAATTTAATAGTAAGAATCGAAAACGTCAATAAAGTAATACAAAATATTGTTGCAACCAGTACGCAGGATACGCCGAAGCGTGAACAGTACAGATACGTACCTCGCGTCTCTGCGACCGGCTGCGCTCTCGTTCCCCGCGGCTTTTCTTCACCTTTTGCACTTTTCGCTCAAAGTGTTCCCGGGTTTCGTAGCTGCTCGACTCGGAGAAGCCGCCGATGGTGGCGCCGTGCAGGTGTTTGTTGTCGTAGGCCAGTAGTTGGCCGTTGGCTCCGGTTTGTGCTCCTGCTCCTCCTCCGTGGAGGGCTGAGGACGAGCCATTTCGTTGTTCTCGATGATAGCTCGACGAGCCGCCGTCGGCCACTTCGTGCGTTCGGCTCGCTTTTTTTGTGTAGTTCTTGATCACCTGCAGAAAATTACGGTGGAAAAGTTTGATAATTAAGGGTATTTTTCGCGCTGTTTCCCGTCCCTCGAAACGTTCAGCGGTACTGGACTGTTACCGGGGGAGGGGGGGATTTTATCGAAATTTTTAGGAATTCCTTGAAAAATTCGTAAAAAATTATTCCCACTTGCGAAAATTTGCTGCTCAAAGCATAAAAATTGCGCAACAACGTCAAAAACTTCGGACCTTGAAAACTTCTTAGAAAAACTCATTTTCAGATTTTCTAAAAATTTGATCTGAATATTTTGGCAACCAAAACCTTCTTAACGGCCCAGAAAAGTCCATTGCTCCCGCCCCCCCCCGCTAAAAGTCCAGTACCCGTTCAGCTGGGTAATTTTGGGCTGATTCCCGAACTTCTCGGGTCGTGTGCATCATTTAAAGGGACAGCGACACACCTTGAACATGGTGACGATGCAGAGGAGAAGCGCTGCAGTGGTGGCTAGACACTGGGCGATTCCCGCAGCTGCTGCTGGCGGACGATGGTTGTTTGTTAGAAAGGAAAGTGGGGAGGCGGAGAAGAAGAAGAAGGAGGAGACACCCCCACCTCCCAACACATCACTACTCCCACAAGACACGCCCCCAAACAACGCTGAGGAGCAGCCTTCTTCGCTTAGATCGCGAGACCACACACCTAATGTCCAATATTGGCCATCGGAATCTGAGGGGGAGTATCCGCTTTTAGAAGGGCAATAGGTCTCCCAGGTTGGCATTGGAGTAGTAAGTACGAGTACGATTAAGTACGGTAGTACGATTGGGTGTGGTCGTACGTGCCGATACGGCAGTACGATCCGATACAGTAGTACGCACGGGTACGCTAGTACGGAAAAATACGGTCGGCGGTTTAGATACGGTAGTAAGAGTAATTACGGACAGTTCGTAGGTTTGAGTACGGTAGTACGATTAGATACAGCAGTAGGTGTCGGTACAAAACAGCCGTACGCACGAGTATGTTTGAGTACGATAGTTCCGTTGGTACAGGCGTACGTTGCGATAAGGTAATACGTTTGAATACGGCAATACGGTTGTAGTACGTAAGAGTACGGTAATACGACAGAATATGTTGTAACAGGTACAATAGCAGGGTTACGGAAACACCTTCAGTGCGGTGCTACGCTTAAATAAAATAGTACGGATGAGTGCAGTAGTACGTTTAAGTACGGTAGTACGCAGAAGTACGCTGGTACGTCGGAAGCCCTCAAAAAGTTTACGGTGGAGTACTGTCGATTTGCGAAATGAACTCTTCTGTCTTCCGTAGCTTGGCAAAAACACAAATAGTGAATAGAAACGAGTGAATTGTGGATGGGCGAGGTTGATATGGATCCGAAATGTCCCCTTTCTCTTCTCTACTCTTTTCCTGTCAATATTTGTCTTCAGATACATGAGCTATATACACAAATCTACCCTTCGGGTCGTATCACGAGTTTATCTCTCTCTCTCTCTCTCTCTCTCTCTGTTCTCTCTTTCTCTTTCTCTCTTTCTCTCTCCATCTCTTTCTCTCTCTTTCTCTCGCTCCCTCTCCCTCTTTCTCTCTCTCTATCTCTCTGTCGCTCTCTCTCCCTCTCTCTCTCTCTCTCTCTCTCCCGCTGGACTTTGCTCGTTTTTTAAGGATCCTATCGTAGCTCATAGGTACGCAAGTGATAAAATTTCAAAGTACAAGCGTGATTTACTAGCGTTTTGGAAAATATGGCTCTCATTTCTGAGCGCAGATAAATGGTCTCTGCTAGCATACCGTGCCGACCTCCTAAATGCTCTCTGCTTGCTGGCTTGATCCTGAAAGCTTTCTGCTAGTTTGCCACTGATTTGGGTGTATTCGCTTTTTTACGTTCCTTAATGATCTTTGCAAGCTAGCCATCAGCAGAGTCAGCCGTCCTATTCCCAAAGAATCTTTGCTAGCTCGCTGGTTTTCTTTTCCACCTTCCTAAACGATCTCTGCTCGTCTGCCAGTAAGCCGGACAACCTTCTATTTAGCCGTCGAATTCCCAAAGAATTTCTGCTAGCTTGCCATGTCTTAATTTCGTCCAAATGGTCTCATCTGGTCGTTTTCAACCAGTTTTTTTTTCAGTTTCCGGAAACCCTCCAAAAATAGGGGTGATTTGGGGCGTTTCCACTATGTTGTTTATTCTTTTCTTTAGACGGCAGGGCGGATGGTAGTGGAATGTGGAGGGGGCAATGGATGGAAGGAAGGGGAGAATCCACCCATCCCCCAACACTGATATCAAAAAGGAGCAAGAGACAGACAGAGAGAGTGAGCACCACCATCACCACACCCACTAACTGTCTCTCTGGCTCTTGCCCTCTCTCTCTCTCGCTCTCCATCTCTCTCTGTCTCTCTCTCGCCCCAAAATCCCCGAAATATGGGTGGGGACCCCCGACTGATCTGCACATCCCAAATTATTCGAATTCGGGGATGTGGGTGAGTAACCGGGGGTGGAATTGGATATTCTCAAATGGTCTCTGCTAGGTTGCTGACAGGTTCAAAAGCTACCGCATGTTCCCGGAGAATATCTGACTTCCCGGTTCCTTTAATCTCTCCGGTTTCCTAAAGAATCGATGCGAGCTGGCCCTTGGATACGCAGTTGGGGCAGGCTAGCAGATATTCTCTAGGAACTTTTCCGAATCCGACTAAACGAGACTTTCCGGTTCTGAAAGAATCTCTGCTAGCTGCCTTTCTCAATCTAAGCGGTGGGCATGCTATGAGAAATTCCTTAGGAACTTTTCCGGATCCGATTAAACGAGACGTTCCGGTTCTCAAAGAATCACCGCTAGCTGGCCGCTTAATCGAAGCGATAGGCATGCTAGCAGAGATTCTTTAGGAACTTTCCCAGTCTTGTCTAAAATGTAGTCTCTTGGTGCTCAAAGAATCAATGCTAGCTCGCCCGTTATAGCCAGATGGCATGCTAGCAGAGATTCTTTCGAATTCGTTCCTGAGGGCGCTTTAAAGGTGAGTGACAGCTGGTTTTTTTTTGACGAGGGGAGCTGGTTTTTAGGGGGAGCCCGCCGGTTCTCAAAGAATCCCTGCTAGCTTACCCTTATAAATCGGAGTTGGCAGGCTTGCAGAGATTCTTTGGGATCCGTTCTTAGGGTTTTTAAAGGAAATGTGCCAGCTGGTTTCAGTGAACTTTTAAGGGCCTTTCCAGTTCCGGTTGAAACAGAGTCACGGGTTCTCAAAAAGATCTCGCTCTCATAAAGCTAAGTTGGCATGCTAGCATGGGTTCTTGGGGATTCGAGCGAAATTCTAATTTAAAGGGCGTGTGACAGTTCGCTCCCAAGATCTTGGATCTCCATCAAAAAACGTCTCAAACCCCCCTGTCCACTATCATTTGCGGGGTGGGAAGCAGCGTGTGTGTGACCTTAATTCGCGAGAAAAACAGTTTTGCCCCAGCCACCCCCCATTTCCGGTGTTCTCCGTCTTGCCCGCCTCAAACGCAAGGCCGTACGGAGGATTGCGGCGGAACCGTGTGATTTTAAGGGGATTTTGAAGCTGAAAAGAAGTTTGAAAACATAATATAAAAATAAAATCGATATTACGATGTGAATGCTGGGGTCTAGAGTATTTTTAATAAAGTCCAATACCTAAAAACCATTGCCAGTCATCCCTTTAGCCATACGCTCAATTTCAATAACGTATCATAACCGGTTAGCCTTCTATCTCCATGTTAGTACGGTTAGTCAGAATTCCTTGTTAGCAGGGGCCATTTTAAAGGCACTGGGAAGTTAGACAACTACCGTAATCGAGCTTGGCTAGCTGCCTGCCTTCCACGTCCCTTTAAAAGGCCCCAAACCAACGTAAAAAGGATAAAATGCGGGACCTGGGTATTTCTATTCCACCGTATCTGGGAGACCTGGAAATTCAGGATGATTGTCCAGATGAGACCGAGCGTCAGCTTGGCGCTCCCTTCCACAATGTCTTCTGCGCGGATGTTCACCACTTTTACCTGAAAATAGGTATTTTTTGAGGGTACGGTAGCGTACGTTTGAGCCAGAATTGGCTCCGCCATCTCGAGCTCTGTCGGCTAAGACAGCTCGAAAACTTTGGATAACGGAATCCTAAAGAATCTCCGCTAGCTTGCCTGTTTTCCTAAATAATATTTGCTAGCCTACCCGTGCCATTTTGAATCCCTGTTAGCTATAACAGGAGCTACCTTTTTTACCCGTTTAGCCTCCCCCCTAAGAAAACCCCAATAGCTTGCCACCAAAAGCTCTATTTCCCCAAGAACCTCTGCCAGCCTATCCGACCAAAAATCAATTCTCGGTCTATCAGCGGCGGAGTGGTTTTTGAAAAGTTTCCGCTCGATTTGGAGGTGGTTGATGGGGGTGGTTGTCTAATGCGGGGGAAATGCGGAAAAGCGGAAAGGCTCCCCCTCTCAGCTACCCATTGTTTCCTATAATTTTCCGTTTTTCGGACATATTTAGGGTGAGGGAATGGTAGAGGGCTGCGGTTTTCGCCGATTTCCGGTAACAGATTTGATAGGGATCGGCCAAAAAACCTTTTGATTCGAATTTTTTCGACCTTTAGATGGAAAATAGCAATGTTGATTTGGGGAATTGAGAAGCAGAGGGCCAGCTAGTAAAGATCATCTAGGGAATGCAATTTTTAGTTAAATTTAGAGAGAGGGAGAGAGCGAGATAGAGAATGAGAGAGATCGAAAGAGCGGAGAGCGAGAGAGAGAGAGAGAGAGAGAGAGAGAGAGAGAGAGAGAGAGAGAGAGAGAGGCAGAGAGGCAGAAGGGGAGTCGGTTTGAGAGAGCAAGCTATAGGTGCAGAGATTCTTTAGGAAGTTTAAAATCGATAGACAGAGTCGTGCTGGCAGAGGTTTTTTAAGAAATATGACAAAATTCAGATACAGCAGACGCTGGCAGAGATTCTTTGAGAAATCTATAAGGAAAAATCTAGGAAAAGAGCAAGCCAGCAGCGATTTTTTAGGAACTTTCAGAATTTTCATTTTTACCCAAAACTCACATTTCGACTCTTCAAAAAGTCGAGACTGTACTGCACATTCTGGATGCGGTGAAATCTGGTGAAACCGTTCTCCCGAGGCTAAAAATGATTTTTAAAGGGACATTCAGGGCAAATCCATACGAGTCTCTCTCCTGACAGTGCTTCGAGTAGACTGAGAAGGTTGAACCCGTCACGCAGATCCTCGAACAAATCCTCCACGCGTGAACCTGCCTGAAAGACGACCGGAACTTGCGAGTTTTCATGGCGTAATTGGTAGGCATATTCCCGTTTGGCACTTAAAGGGGCTCGAAAAAGATCTTTTTGAGCATCTTAATCGCGTAATAGGTTTTCTGGTTCGTAATTTATGTTTGGCATCTTGTTCACTCTGGCTCTCTCTCTATCTTTCTCTCTATCTCCCACACTCTCTCTCTGCCTCCCTCTCTCTCCCTCCCCAGACCCTGTAAAAGCCCATGGAGCTCCTAAAATTCAACCCGGATTTTCAGCGAATTTCCATGGAAATTCAACCCCCTTGCCCTAAATGTTATGTGGGTGTGGGACACGTGTGGGGTGTCGCGGCGGGACCCTCGCCATCTACCATGCTTTGGCAAATAAAGGAGACCCGCGTGTGCCGCTCACAAAAACCACGGCTCAAGGACCCCTGCAATGGATTGACGCCCCCAAAAAAGGGCAAAAATGGGTGAAAAAAGGAGTGAAAAACGTCGCATAATTTAGAAGAAATTTAAGAACATTTAGAGCTTTAGAAAAATTCAAAAAGAAAAATTTGGACTTCTTCCGAGATCCAGCATTAAAGAGTCTTCTTTACTATCTCAATCGCCCTCTCTCGCACAGTCTGTCTGTCTGTCTGTCTGTCTGTCTCTCTCTCTCTCTCTCTTTCTCACTATCTCTCTCTCTCACTCACTCACCTTGGCTAGATGCTTGTTCACCCATTTTGTGAAGGTCTTCTTCTGGATCCGGTCGCGCTCATCTAAAAATTACGTTAGATTCCTTATGCCATAATTTTATAGTTTTCAGCCCCGTTTTTATTCCAGAACTCACTATTCCACACCTATCAGGCCCTAAAAACTGCTTTGAAAAAAGCCAGGCGCGTTTTTATGAATCAGCGCGATTCGGGGGATGGGGGGATGATTCGACAGACGGGCCTTGGTCCCAGACCAGAGATGCAATGTGTACCCTTTGTCAGTTTGTGTTGGTGTTTGTGTGTCTTTTTGGTTGATCCTGTCACTCTTTCTCTCACGTCCTCTCTATCTCTCCCTCTTATCCCCTTTCGCCCTCTCTCTTTCCCTCTCTCTCCCTACCTCCCTCTCTCTCTCTCTCTCTCTCTCTCTCTCTCTCTCTCTTCACCAACATACTAACAAAGATTCTCGAGGTTTTAAAGGGAGTACAACAACAGATTCTAGTGTTAAATCTCATAATCGATCCGACAAGCCGATTTCCCGGATGAGCCCTATCAAATTTGCATCTCGGCCGACCTTGGCCAGCTGATGCTCAGCCCGAAAAGTGGCGGATGACATGGATATTGGGGGGATGGGTGCAGGGTGTATCCCCCTTCCCTCTACATAACAGGGGATTTCAGCCCGTAAATCGGCCACTATCAAAAGAAAGAGGCGGGAGAAGATTTGACACCATTTCGGCACTACAGCCCTTTCGTAAACCCCTAAAACGCAACCAAATCTGTGAACCATGTGGAGAATGAGGGAAAAAGGGAGAGAGCGAGAGAGAGAGAGAGAGAGAGAGAGAGAGAGAGAGAGAGAGAGAGAGAGAGAGAGCGAGATGGAGAGAGAGGGGAAATAGTAAGTACGAGCGTGAGCAAGAGCTTTTTTGCGCCACTTCAGATTCAACGGAAGATCCATCTGATTTTTCAAATTGAGAGCCACATAAACCGAGAAAAAGTGAGAGATTGGCATAAGGAAGAGAGCGAGAGAGAGAGAGAGAGAGCGCACGCGAGAAAACGAGAGCGATTGTGGGATAGAGAAGAATATAGAGCAAAATATTGAGCTTTTCACAAACCAAAAGGTCATCAAATTCAAGAAAAATTCCGAACTTAGCTTTTCCAACCCATTTAACAATTTTTAAACGTACTGAATATACGAATTCTGCCTTAAAACAACAGGGCAAGCTAGCAGACATTTTTGGGAACTTGGGAAAACCGGCTTTGCCATCAGAACTCGGTTTTAAACTCCTTAGGCCCCCCAAATGCCTGATTTCCAACACCTAATCGGTTAAACCCCTCGAAATCCCCGTTAAAAGTTGCCTCCCCCCATACCTTCTCAATTAGGGTCAACCGCAAGCCGCAAAAGGCGCCCCGGCCTCCTTTCCCCCCTCGCGCAACCAGTTTTATCGGTTTATTTGCGTAGTGGCTGGTCGCGGGCCCTCGCCCCTCCGATTTACGGCCGGATAAGGGGGGCGGAAAGTCGCGGAATTTCGCGGATTGAACATGACACACAACATCTATAGCGCCTTAAATTACCTTAATTTCCAAAAAGCAAAAAGTTGCGTCTCGGGTGGGGTCGAACCAGCCCTTGTGCCTGAGACGCGAGAGTTTTACCAATCTGCCATGAGGAAAATAGGCCAAAAAACGGACATAATCGGATACTAAAGCCGAAAAAAATCTGTAGCTAAAAAAAACTACGATATGCGTTAAATTTTAAAAAGCAAAAAATTCCACGCCGGTCGGGATCGAACCCGGGCCATAAACCTGGTACGCGAGAGCTTTACCAGTTAGCAAGGTAAAAATGAGCGAATAGGGAGAATAAAGTTATAACAAATCGGAAATATGTAGCTCGGGGTAATTTTGAGTTTTCGTTCACCCACCCTTAAATCGGCCGAGCTGATGCTCATACTGCTCGAGACATTCGACCTCAACGGCCGACTCGACCTCCTCCAACTCGTGCTCCTCCTCACCACCAACACGTTGTGTCGGGGCCATCAATATCAAAGGGGGGAGAGGCCCTCTAGCAGAATAGTCCTTCTTTTTAATCGAGATACGGTAGAGAATGGATACGGTAGATTGGGGCACGAAATAAGGATTAGGAGAATTTAGTAGTACATGGGTGTGAGTGGAGAGGGGGGGGAGAGGGACAGATGAGATATCTATGTGGAAATGCTGTTTCTTCCAGCCGATGTTGATCTCTCGAGGGGGGGAGGGGGCAGACGGTTAGAGGGAGAGATAAGGGAAGAGAGAGAGAGAGAGAGAGAGAGAGAGAGAGAGAGAGAGAACGTGCTTAAAGCGGTCGGCAAGTTTTTGAGGCCACGATCGTTCGAAAATGTAACAAAAAATAAGACAAACTAGCAGTTTTCAGTAAACAAGCAAAGGCTATTCAGGATTGCTTCGAATAAAGATTATTAAGAAGCAGAGATTATTGAGGAATTCCGGGTAGCTAGCAGAGGTTCCTAGGGCGTTTGAAATCTTTAGGAATAGCTAGCAGAGATCGTTGAGGAATTCCAAATTTTGGGTCAACGAGCAACGGTTTTTAGGGAATCAGAAAATTTAAAGAAAAGCTAGCAGAAATCGTTTAGGAAACGGAGAACAAGGGCAAACGAACAGAGATTCTCGAGGAACTATTTTTTCAAGGAAAAATTAGCGGAGATCGCTTAGGAATTGAACATTTCGGGTCGACAGCAGAAAATTCAGAATTCCTGGCATATTAGCAACGATTTTGAGGGATATCCGACTCAAACCGCCCATTCAAAAGCGTTCAGAGGTGTCGATCGGAATCCTTGTGGTCAGTGAATTGCCCCGGGGGGTGAGGGAAAGTGGGTAATTATTGGACAACGACTACGCGAAGCACCGCGCTGCCGGGGCAACTTTTAGGGTGGACAGAGAGACGGACAGACAGACACACTGACGGAATGGCAAAGAGGTGAAGTGGGTGCTTCTTGTTCCTTTTTTGGGGGTGAAACTCACGGAGACAGTCCATCCAACAGGGCAACTAATGGATTTGAGGAGGGGAGGGGGGTGGTTTGGCGGAAATGGATGCAAAAAACGCGAAAATTCAGGCAAACGAGCAAAGATAGTTTGGGGAAATGTGATCAAACTGGAATCGCGCAATCATAGAGTCAAAAGCCATGGAGGGGGCCAACTAGCAGTAAAATTGGGGGGAATGGACCGGAAGTGAACATTTAAAGGGACGGGCAATGCATGACCGTGGATTTTGTGAAATTCGTTACGCGATAGAATCGTTGGTTCACGCGTTGTGTGTCGCTGCTTTACGCGGAAAACCAGAGAAAAACCCTAGCCTTGCCTTGCCGGTCCCTTTAAACGAAAGAATGTCGATCGCTCTAAAATCCTGGCTTCAAAAAAACGATAGAGCTATCTGGAGGAGCTAAAAAAATTGGAGAAAAAAAATTTGTCAGCTGTTTCTGCGTAAACCTAGGAATTCTGCTGCTCGGAAAAGAGTAATTTGCTGAACAGGTAAGGAGAAGAGAATTATTGGCATCTTTTGGGGAAAGGTGGGGGGCAGAGGACCGGGCACAGTCCTCGGCAGGGGGTGCTAGTAATGTTGATGCTTCGGATCAGGGCTTCGAGGGCACCCGCATGGGACACACAGGGTGGGCAGAAGCTGAAGAGGAAGCTCAACATGGACGGGGGAGAAAGGGGGGGCACACCCACCCCCACACACCACCACAATCAGCCGCAAAAATGACGGTCTGTCAAAATGGGCGAAAATGGGGTGGGAAATGGTTTAAAATAGGGTTGAATTCAGCCAAAATCCCGACAGCGAAAATCGCGGTAGCTAAATACCGACAGCCCGTAATACCGATCGCTCAAAATACCGACAGCCAAAAGCCGGCAGAAAAATCCCGACAGGCCAAAATCCCGACAAACCGAAATGCCGACAGACCAAAATACCTACAGGCCAAAATGCCGACAACCACAGTCCCGACCAAAAATCGCGACATATTCGTGACGCTAGTTTGACCTCCACTGCTGTTTAAACAGTTAGTTATTTGCTTATCGGGATTTTGGTTCGGTGTTTTGCCCTGTCGGTATTTTGGCATGTCGGTATATTGGCATTTCGGGATTATGGCTGTCGGAACTTTGGCCTGTCGGCACTTCGGCCTGTCGGGATTTTGTCTGGCAAAAAAATGTGTGAAATACGACCGAGATTTAAATTTTTTGAATTTTTTAAGAGATTTTTCTCGGCTTCCAGCGATCAAAAAATACTAAAAAATACGATAGAGATCCATCACATTACTATTAACAGGTATTATATGCGGAAAAATATAAATTAGTTTCCCCCGCTAAAAGATCAGTACCTAATTCGTAAAAAATAGGAAAAGAGTAAGAAATTTCGGTATTTTGGATTAAATCTTGGTGAGAGCTAAATTCGGCATTTTCAGCAAATGGCAAGCTAGCAAGGATTCTTTTAGGATCCAAAACAAGACAAACATCACCAATTGACACACCTGGAATGACATGCACCATCCGCCTGACCACCATTACTTGATGCCTCGCATGGTTTGGGTGTTCTTTCGACGGATTCGAACTGTCCAAAAACCCATTACGCCATAAAAACCTCCAAAACCTGGCCCGCAATACGCGACGCTCGCTGTGGACTACTGTAGCCGTCCTCCTTGGCCCTGTCTCGCCCAGATACACCTCCCGAGAAGCCGATTCCAACCCCAAATATGGATTGTCCATAGTGGATCCGCAAAAATAATCTAGGAATCTAGAGAAGCCGTAGCGCTCCTCTTGAATTTGTCATATATACGGGCAAATACGAACGACGACGGCGACGACCCGAAAAAGGCGTGTCACCCCCTCCTTTTCTCTCTCTCTCTCTCTCTCTCTCTCTCTCTCCCCCTCTCCCTCTCTCTCTCTCTCTCTCTCTCTCTCTCTCTCTCTCTCTCTCTCTCTCTACGATGCGACGATACACACATGAATGAACAACCCCCACCAGCACCACACAACCACTTCACAGTTTTGACAACACCGGGCCAGGTAACTAGTTATGAAAAATAGCGGTGGTGATGAGCCGGAACAGCGTTTCCCATCGTAATCTCAAATTTTGAGAAACTTCAGGTACTTTTGCATTAGCGGGGGTACCCAATTTCTTTGGTATCAAATATAACTGCTTTAAGTGGATAAAGAATCCAAAAACCGTAGATATTTTCATCTAAAATCTATGTTTTTTTTTTGTTTTTGATAAAATTTTGTAAACTATCTGTTTTTTTAAAAACAAAAACTGCTACTTAGAAAATAGCTTAAAAGACCCTACAATATGCTTACAATTAGAAAACTACCGTACGGTATTACTGAGAAAATGCGTTACCCCCCCCCCCGCTAATAGTCCAGTACCATGTGGAAAAATATGTAAAATATTGGAAAAGGGAAACTACAGGGTGTCCCATAAAAAAGCACCCCTCCGGCATTTCACCGTATTACATCCGATCGGTCCCATACCTTGCGAAAGATGTATCTGACCCTAAATAACCACAATCCTGACTTATAGCCAGATCGCTACAGTAGTTTTCGAACTATCGCCAAAATACTATTTTGTACGCTATTCTTAACAGTTTTTTCGGCTATCTTTTTGGACTTTGCATCGATTTGCATCGACTTCCGGCTGCGAATCCCTAATTTCGCTTAATATCGGGGGTGACTTTCCGTTACAAAAATTGTTGAAATCAACGTTTATTTGATTAATTTTTCCCAAGAAAAAATTCCTAGGGGTAAAGAAAGCTTGCCGCTTCATTTTCACTTAATATTCGAAGGGTCGATTCCGACGAAAACCTTATGAAAAACGGATGAGAAAGTTTATTTTTGTTTCATCTCGAAAATTACTGTAGGTGGCGGGCTATAACTCAGGATTGTGGTTATTTAGGGTCTGATACACCTCTGGTCCAAATTTCGGACCGATCGGATGTAATACGGCGAAATGCCGGAGGGGTGCTTTTTTTTATGGGACACCCTGTATATAAAAAACAGATCGACAGTTGTCGCGTACGCCTGTGTACGTCCGTACTTAAAATACGTACGGGTGTAAAAAGGAGCCCAACGTAGTGAAATTTACGAAAAAGCGCAGATACATTACAAAAGTTAATAATACGATTTAGGCGTTCATTTGCATTTTTTTGGAAACAATTTAAGGTCCTTAAAATTTTGCAGTTTTTCTCTCAATTTTTGATAACCCACGTCGTTTCGGCGGTCTCAAAACGGCTCGATAGTCGATGCGGGCCATGACTTCTTATAGGAATAAGAATATTGGCCCTAAAGGGACTGGGAAGGGCCCATAGATATGGATTATCCACCGGGGGATGTTGATGGGGAATGAATGGGCCATTTGGACAGACAGATAGAGGGACGTCGGGGCGGCTAGAAAGCGTGAAACAAGTGGGGGGCAAACACTTTCTGCTTCTTCTTTTTGCTGATCTCGTCCTCTCCAGAAAAACCCCGGCAAGGGGCAACCGGTCAAACAATCCCTGATAAGCCTGTATCCGCCCGGATTTCGACACCTTTTAAAACGATAGAAATTTTTTAGAAAACTACAAAAAACACGATTTTCCAGCAAAATTAAACTTTTTAACATTTTTTCTAATTTTTAAGATAATTTCCAATTTAAAGATACCTAAATTTTAACAAAACACTATTAAAGTACTTATTACTAGGTATATAATAGAAATAATAATCCTTATAAGCAAAATCTGCAAGGACCGAGAAGGTTCTTTTGCATTATCGGGGGGAGCAGCCTGACTTTTTGCATAAGCCCAGAAATGCATAGCAATTTAACAATAAGGATTTTAATAGTGTTTTTGGTAAATGTAAACCGATTCAGCAGAAAAACCATTTTAAAAGATTACAAAAATCTTCACAATTCGAATTTTCGATCGAAAGATTGATTTTTTCGGATTCTTTTAATAAAGCTTGATGGGGCAAATTAAGAAATTAATTAAATACATGACAATAATACGTGCAACAATACCCAA